GTGGCTGCGTGACTAAATGCTAGCTTCTCCCTTTTTCTTTTCTCGATGGCTCATAGCTTGCAGGGGAGGTCATGGATGCAGAATATGATTCCAACATGGCGGCTTTCATGACGTCATGGCAGCCTAATCGCGTGATGGTAAAACCTGCTTCAGTGTCATAACAATATACGTCATTAAGAATCTGCGCATCAGCAATGAAGGATTCAGCGTGCGATGTACTGGTAAATTTAACGCGACATCAAAAAGTTCATGTTGCATCGTGTTGGTGCCCCACCGTGGTGGTCTAGTGGCCAAAGTACTCGGCTGCTGACCCGCAGGTCGCGGGATCGAATCCCGGCTGCAGCGGCTGCATTTCCGATAGAGGCGGAAATGTTGTAGGCCCGTGTGCTCAGATTTGGGTGCACCTTAAAGAACCCCAGGTGGTCGAAATCTCCGGAGCCCTCCACTACGCCGTCTCTCATAATCATATGGTGGTTTTGGGACGTTAAACCCCACAAATCAATCAAATCATCGGGTTGTTGCTCTAACCTGTCTCTTTCAGCAACGCCAGTGCAAAAGCTATATAGGCGAGGTGGGACAACCTAATTCCCTAGATTTTCTGCAGTTTCCCTTTTTTATGAGAACTTTAGGGACAAATAACAAAAAAAGACAGTGCAGTTTTTCTTCGCATATTTATAATTTTAAACATCACAATCTAGCAGTTTCCTCAAACTAACAGTTTCCAGTTTACCTAGCATATAGCTATATACCTGACTGCTTCTAATTTTTTTGTGGTCTAACGCAAAAAAAAAAGGGGGGGGGGGGGTGTTGTATACAGGTAGTTCGATCACGTGGGCTTGTGTTTTGTTCGGCGCACTTTCGGGTCCACGAAGCCATCGAATTTCTTATAAGTACACTAGAGGGAACTTGCATATAACAGCTGCAACGCATTACGCTTCAGCCAGCGTGGGAATGATGGAGGTGTTTATAATATTCACTCGTTCAGCTGCGTTTGGCTCCGTGTGACACAGACAGTATCGCGCTATACCCTCACTATGTCAGACTACCGTACTATAGTTCGTGTTCATTACAGTACAGTGTTCCTTCACTTAACCGGGTGCATTACCAGTCACCAAAGGCGAGGGGCACGCTGGTCGCACGCCCAAGAAAGCAGTCTGCCGTCACAGAAGCGGTTATCTACACATTCTGCGAGCTATATAGCTCAGCTTCTACAAAGTTTGACGACCCTAAACAGCACATCAACAAATAAATAACCCGCGGAATATACGCACAAAACCAAGTGGGTGATGCCTCAATGACCCGAAAATTCACCGAACGGAACACAAGCCCACTTAACAGATTGCCTGTATACGCTCTCTTTTTATGGCAATCGACCAACATATGAGGCAATCAACAATTTAGCCCCGCCGCGGTGGTCTAGTGGCTAAGGTACTCGGCTGCTGACCCGCAGGGCGCGGGTTCGAATCCCGGCTGCGGCGGCTGCATTTCCGATGGAGGCGGAAATGTTGTAGGCCCGTGTGCTCAGATTTGGGTGCACGTTAAAGAACCCCAGGTGGTCTAAATTTCCGGAGCCCTCCACTACGGCGTCTGTCATAATCATATAGTGGTTTTGGGACGTTAAACTCCACATATCGATCAATCAATCGATCGATCGATCAATCGATCGATCACTCAACGATCGATCAATCGATCGATCACTCAACGATCAATCGATCAATCAATCAATCAAAAAGTGAGATGAACCGTGAAGTGAATTTCTAGTTTGCTTTGGCAAGAGTAACCTAAACGTATTTGAGAAAAAAAAACACGGCACATCTACGAAGTGAATGATGATGAGTGGGATATTTAGGTGTGAACTTAAATCCCCCGTCACATTGGCCACTCACGCACGTAATTGAGTGGCAAAGCGGTGTACAGTGCAAGATTTAGAGGTCATAAATTGCATGTTGTGTTAAGTTGTGAATTTCGTTTTGTTTCCATTGTTACTGCTTTGTGGTGTCGAATCCAGCCTGAAGTTGGCAAAGACGAGGGCTGTGCATGCTTCCTTGTCGGTTGGTTGTTTCCAGTCACACGAAACGCGTCGTAGTATATCGAGACGCCGTGTACTGCACAAGTCAGTCGTTGCTCGTGATTATCATCGTCATCAACTTCATCGTCACTACCATCATTATCATCGTCATCACGACTACGGCGCATGGCAACGCCACTGATGAAGAAACATGCACCTTAAAGAGCTTCGCCCTTAAAAATGTCATCAAGTTTTGGCTTTCATTAGTGGTCCCCCTCTTCAGTTGTCCGCGCTTCATTCGCGTGGAGTGCGCTGATGTCTGTGGCCACAGCCTTTCGATCACCGTTCATTCCGAGTTTCGCAACCGATATAATTAGACCTTGGCAGTGCGCATATGCATGCCTGTCAGCGGTGATGATTGGACTGCGCACTCTTTACCATCGCGAATGCTGGTCGTTGTTAGTGTTTCATTCGACGCCGATAGTACTGTTTATTTAGCGCACTCTTGCGACGTGTGCTCTCACTGATCACCCGCGATAAGCAGTTGCGATGAAGTGTCGGCGTGTTTGATTGAGGACTACTTATCTCCAAGGTGCGCGCCGTTTATGAGGGTCATAGTAGGGCACTTAATCGCTGAGTGGATGGGCGACGCACCTCTGAAGCCGATGCCGTCGCCCGTGAGCACGCTGCTTATGCGATGCTGTTTGCGACACGTTTGAGTGTTCAGCCTGCAACACTCAGGGTACGTTACGCCACATAACCCTTTCGGCGCATCAATGAACTCATTGCTGCAATGTTTGAAATCATAGAGTTAACGCTACGAAAGAAATTCACGAATACAGAGACAAACCCTAACAATGGGGGTCTAATTTAATTGAACCCATGTGCACAGCTGCTAGCCGGCCTAGTTGGAAGAAATTCGTCTTTTATCTCTCTATAGTGCTTAACGAACAGCGACAAACGGAAGAGCAAACACGAACAAGCTCAAAGGCTTGTCCTTTCGTCTTTCATTGTTACGCACAATAGTAGCTAAAAATTAACATCGATCGGTGTTTCTTCATTGCTCGTTTGTTGAGCAGTGCACGAGCAATTCGGCATCTTGTCTGTAATGAAATGCGGACGCTGTCACCAAAATATGGACCTGGTTCATGCTCACCAGCTCAGTCTCAATATCTGATGCATGGTGTAATGCTTACAGAAGCGTGGTAAGTTGGGCTGGTCGGTAATAGTTCATCTATAGTGTAACGACGAGAAAAAGAATGAAAATACAAAAGGGGAGACTGTAACAACGCTTGTACGTGCTTTCTTCTTCTATTTCAAAACAAAGTGTTTTATGCCGGGGTCCACCATGACTGAGTTATTTCCGTCACGGAAATGACGTCAAAAATACGCATGATCGGAAGACAAAAACTTGGCAGATTCCGCATACAGTGGGATTGCCACTTTAAAATCAGCTCAACGATATGAAGTGGACCTAAATTATGCTGTACATGACTTCAATGTCATGATTATCATGTTCGGACGTTTTATTTACCTTCGTCGTCTATTCACGTCACGTGATACCAAATATATGGTATATGTGGAAGCGAAACGGTCGCGAGTGTTCTATAAGCGTAGCATGTAGTCATGTTTTACATGACACGCATGCCATGATTATCATGTTTGGGCGAGCCGTTTACCTTCGCCGTTTATTCACGTCACGTGATACCAAATTTGGCGTAGGTGGAGCTTGCAAAACGGCCGCGAGCACGCTATGAGTGTAGCATGTAGCAATGTTTTACATGACATGCATGTCATGATGGTCATGCTTGGATGTCCTCCATTCACGTCATGTAATACCATATTTGATATATGTGACGCTAGCAAAACGGCCACGATCTCATCGCGAGAGTGGTATGTTGTCATGTTCTTGTATGGCACGCATGTCGTGATTATCATGTTGGCACTAGTCACATACCTTCGTCATCCATTGACGTACGTAACACCAAATTTGGTATATATGAAGCTAGCGAAACTACCGCGAGCGCACCATGAGCGTAGCATGTAGTCATGTTTTCTATGACTCACATGACGTGATTATTATGTTTGGACGTGTCATTTACCTTCGGTGTTCGTTCGTGTGACGTAATACCAAAATTAATTTATGCGAAGCTAGCGAAACGGCCTCGAGCGCATCTGAGCGTGGCATGTCCTGACGTTCTTACATGGCACGCATCTCATGAATATCATGTTTTCACCAGTCATATGTACCTTTATCATCCATTCACGTCACGTAATGCCAAAGTTGGTGTGTGAAGCTAGCAAAACGACCGTGAGTGTGCCATGAGTGTAACGTGTAATCATGACTTGTACATGACACGCATGTCATGATTTCTAAATAAGCGCCTGTCACTTCATACCGTACCAGTTTTGCGATATGTAATGTTGAATGAAACCACGGCAAGAGCAGCAGGACCACGAAATGTAGATCATAACATACATGCCCCGATTTTCATGCTATGACTAGTCATTTATGCTCGCTACACCGTGATGATTCCGTACTAATTTTGATATCGATAAAATCATCAAAATGGCCAAGAGAGCTAAAAGTCGTTGGCGGCAAGAGACATAAATAAATAGATCCACTTCAAGTGGCCGAAGTTCGCTAAGAAATGCTTCGCATTTAAGAAAAAGGGAACCCAAGCAGGTATGGTGCGAGCCGGAGCCACTGTTACTGTTATAAAGGTGGCAATGTTCTATATGTCGAAAATGCTGTGGGTCTTGGAGCAGCTGCATAAGAGACAATTAAATCTGCCACAATACGTTCATGTATGTCTGGTTTCCGCTGACACAGCTAACCCTAAGCCGAATGTTCGATGACAACCACTGTCTTGTGGCAAAGCACGACAGCCTGTAAAGATGAATGAGTGACAAATGATATAAAGGTTGAACGTGTAGGAAATTTTCGTGCATCAGTACGCTTTTCAAAGTGTACGGGACATCTTTACCGCAGGACACCGACCTTTCCTGGAACCGCAGAACGAACCCCGACTTGACAACATGCTTCCAAGACACCGTCATGCTGTGGGTACCGTGCAGTCTACTGTGGTTCTCCGCACCATTCGAGTTTATTGCCATGGCGAAGAGCACGAACAGGAGGAGACCATGGACTCTACTGAACATTACGAAACTGGTGAGTTCTACGAGGGGACAGGCCGGACAGGGTTTGGCGCACTGAACGTAGCAGTCAAGTTGTGCTTCGAACTTTAACAACGCGTTAATAACAAGGACACAACGGAACACTAATCGCAGGGCAGTGTCTGGGCTGTGACCTTGTTCTCTTCTTTTAGTCACGCTTTTCCATTCCCACTTCTAATTACGAGCCGAACTAGTCACAATTAATTTGCTGCTAATGTTATTTCAGCTGGACCAGTTTTTGTGATGGTAGTAGGTGCGGTACTCACTGATTCGAACGCGGCATGTATTTTTTTTAAATATAGTGACTAGTACTCCAAGCTACTCCGAATAACTTTGTCATGTCACGACAAATCGGCTCTCTGAAGATAATGTTATCTTCACAGACCCGGTTGTACATACACTTGTCTATCCCTGCCACTTTGTACGGGGTCGTGGTCCTGGTCAAGCCCGTGAAGAGGCTTTTTCACCCCGGCCCTCAGCATCCCAAATAATGAAATGTTGGAATAAATGAATCTTTGAAAGTTTCATGTCAGCTCTCATCAACGCGTACCAGTCAAGGTTATGCCGATATGGCCTGCCCTAAAGGTGGTGGAAACCAATGTATGTGCATACTTAGCCTTAAATTGTCCCGTTTCTGTCCACGAACATTGTACGTCGACTCAGGCCCGTAGCCGCGGGATGAACCATAAAAACCGGGGTCCCCCCCTTTTAAAATTTAAATGGAGAGGGTTACCAAGGAAAGATCCTCAAAATGTATGTTCTTCAAAGCCTTCAACAAATCCCCCCCCCCCCCCAACCCCTGCAAAAAAAAAAAAAATTCTGGCTTCGATCCTGCGTCGACTGCTGGTACTATGATTTTATTTCACGTACCTATAAATATAGTTTGCCCTAAGCAAAATTGAATTCAGGTGGGTGGTCCATCTGAACTTCATCGTGGCAACTTGCGCAGAATGTTGAATAGCAAGATATACAATGCAACAGTTTTCAAACGATTGTTTTACTTCAACCAAGTGTTTTAAATAAGCGATTTCTGTGTTTTACTTGCAAAAACAATGAAATTAGTTTTCAACATGTGTACCCGAAGATATCTTTCATATTTTTTTAACTGGTCACCTTTGCTATATTGGACAAACGAGCCACTGTATAAATAAATGGCTGTGTGAGCGCTTTCTCCCTTTGCATAATGATCACCTTCCCAATTTTTAGAAATCCTCAGCTGGGTGCATTTGTGCAACAGCTGTTTCAAAGAGAGTGTTCGTCAACGAGAGGGTTGTCCTGAAGAAGACAAATCCACATGTTTAAACTAGCTGCAACAATGTTACACATTCCCGATATCTGATCAGGCATAACATCTATGTAGAAGGTTCATTGCGCCCCGCCGCGGTGGTCTAGCGGCTAAGGTACTCGGTTGCTGACTCGAAGGTAGCGGGATCGAATCCAGGCTGGGGCTGCTGCATTTCTTATGGAGGCGAAAATGCTGTAAACCCGCGTGCTCATATTTGGGTGCACGTCAAAGAACCCTAGGTGGTCGAACCTTCCAATAGGCATCTCTCATAATCATATGGTGATTTGTAGACGTAAAACCCAAGCTGCCAGCCTTACAAAGTAAGGCTGGCAGCTAACTCTTCTGAATCCGATCTCACACAACGCTACGAAACACTGGTGTAAGACAATCCAGCCCAACCGGGACACTTTCCGCGCAGTCTTCTTGCTTGAGAGCACCACACCTAGGAGGGTATCCGAGCCGCTTGCTGGTTCTGGCTTCGCAGTGATCCCAAAGGTGTCCAAAAGCGGCAACAACACTGCGAATTCTTGAGTGCCAGTGGCTCTCCGTGCCAAAGCATCTTTGGACACACACGACTTTCTGATGGCTTAGGAAGAGCTTGAGTTGCTTAGGAAAAGGTGGTCACCTCTACGATGCTTTGTTCATCAAGGTGCATCGAAAAATGAGCCGAGCGCCTGGGACCCGTCTTTGGGGACGTTTTTCACCTTTTGTGGCGCCTTTTCGCTTTCCTTTCACACTTGTAGTGGCCTGCCTAGCACCACTGCCACATCGATGAGTCAACACAGCACGTGGGGCACAACATCATTTCACTTTGCTGTGTCATGCCGTATAATCGCATTGTGTGGGATGTTGTGCTTTTCCTTCGCCGTGGCACGCCTTCTTTCCAGGCTTGGCAAAAAGGAGGTGTTTGAACTTCCCATTTTGGGGCAGATATGCAAACTACTTCTTCCTTCGACCGCCTTGGACTCTATTGTTTTCCTTAGCAGAGAATCTTGGGAAGACCCAGGTTTTAAAACGCGAGCGCGAGACTTAGCACTGAAACTTGGATGGCTCCGGTCCCAGAGGAATTCCCCCAGTTGCAACAGTACACAAGCGTAACCACCACCAATGTAGGTGACATAGAAGCGACAGTGAGGCTTTAGTGAAAACCCTGCTGTGTAATCTATAGCTTTTGGTCACCCATTCCCCCAGTTGCAGCAGTACACATGCGTAACCACCACCGGTGGAGGTGACACAGATGCGACAGTGAAGCTTTGGTGAAGACCCTGATGTGTAATCTACAGCTTGTGGTCACTGTAGGAAACGAAACGATTTCATGACTGATGCTTTTGTCCTTTTTTTTCTCTCCATACAGTTTTTCTCCCTGGTGCTGATCGCCATTTCACTCGGCGAGCTGATCAACTGCTTTGTGAGGCTCGGGCGAGGCTTTCCTCTTTACCCAGTCGACTACGCAGCGCCATCAATACGCCTCGTCACCTTCGTAAGTGGGCCTTACTCACACTTGGCAGCCAATGTTTGCTGCAGGATGAGAAAACGGCGAGATTACGATGGCCAGAAACGAGACATGCGAACGTGCTGTTTTCATCAACCGCTTGCTAATTTCATTCTATACTACACGACATATGTAATAGACTGTGCTACGGTAGCTAGCGAAATTTTATACAGCATGTGAATTCACACCAAGAAGTAAGTCACTGATTCTGCCACTCGTAATACAATTTTTGTTTCGCATTAACACTGAGTACTAAATGAAGATGTCTCGTGCCTTTGAACTAAAGAAATCTTACTACCAGTAGCAGTAGTAGGGGTTCTTAATTAGACTAACTGGCTCATAAAGATTGGGGTAAAACAGCGCAGACAACGGGAGCACACAGGACTCTGAGGACGTCGGGAGGGTCGTCGCGTAACATATTGTTCCCACAGCTCCTCGCTACGTAAAGGAAAGCTGATAAGGGAGTGAAGATGTTTGCAGTGCACTGAGTCATAACATGGAAGCTCATGGGCCCTTGACTACGGCGTGTTTTAAAGTCATATGGTATTGGCATGAGAAATCTCAGGTATTACTAGATGCACAAGATGTATGGGCGCCGTTTGCAGTCATAATGTGTCCATTTTAAATTCTGAAGATGCCGAAGGATTTTCACGTATATTATAATAATGCTTATAGTGGATAGTCAGTAGTAGCAGTGATAACATACACTTGCTGCATGCATATTCTAGCAGAATAAGGCTCTTATTAACATGGATAACGGTTAGAAGAACTTCATATAAAGGTAAATGGGTTTTATGTCTCAAAACTATAGTTTGAGCACGACAGTAGTGGAGTAGTGAAGGGCTATGGAAATTTCGACCATCTGGTGTTTTTTAACGGGCACCGACACCGCATCGCACATACGCCTCTACTATTTCACCTCTGTCGAAATGCAACTGCCGCAGCCGGGGTTGAACCCTCAACCTTAGGGTTATATAGTAGCCAAGAACCATAACCGTTGTTCCACCAAGGCAGACGTTGCGGTCAGTCCAGTGTATGGTCTGTCTTGTTCGTCGTGTTTAAAGGGCCCCTAGGCCACACCGAGTTCAAAAGCGATACAGTAGTTTATTTCTTGCCTCCACTACTCTTCGTACAAGTCGTATTTTTTCCTGGCCACTTATTTCTTCGAAAAAACACGTGGAATGTCAGCACAGAGCGTTGAGCCAGTAAGAATTTCGCGCCTTTCGACTGCATTCCGCTACCTCTGTTTGCGCAGTCGCAAACGAAGTGAAGTCAGTTTATTGTGCAAAGTAGTCATGAAGTACAAGGCAGAACACACAGAGGACTTTACGGTGAAGCAGAGTATGGAACAAGTCGGAACAGATATATCCATTGACCAATAGAGAGCTCATTTCATTCAGTCGTTACGTGAACAAGCTGGTGACGTCACAAAGTATGCCGCGAGAACGGGAAGCTAATAAAAGTGCATGGGAACAGAATAAAACACTCTTTCTCTTATCATGGAAGTGTTTCATGCCAGGGTACAGCATGTCTCTGCTGACGGATTTCTCATCACGAATACGAGCTTATAAAATACATGCAAACACACTTACGACCTCTTGCTCCGCAGCGCACGGTGCGAAACAACTAGGCCACAAAGCGTAAGTTGACCAACTTGCCAACGGCGAGCCATTTATATGCATCAAATACCATTACGGGTCCTAAAATATCTGTAATTTTAGCCTATGTTCTTCATCAGTAATGACATGGTGCGATGGCCGCGTGTTGTGATGGTCGTCGCACTCTAAGGGTTGTCGCCCCACACGTTGCGATGCACGTGTGGGGCGACAACACGTGCATCCACAGGGCATTGCCTGTGCGCTTAGGCTTATCTCGTGGTTTCATTGTACCCCTTGTGCGTCCCTTACAAGTTTGCTGGGAAGTTAGTCCCAAGTAACCACGGATATTCTGTAGGCATGCGACGGGACGTACATTTCGGACACGTGTATTCATGTACATTCATGAAATGTCCATGAATGTACACTGTACGTTCGATGAACGTACATGACATGTACAAAGGTAACAACTTTGTACGTTCGCTTGACGTCTCTTCAGGACAGCCAACATAGACATTGACAGGCCCTTCAAAGGATATATATATATATATATATATATATATATATATATATATATATATATATATATATATATATATATATATATATATATATATATATATATATATATATAATGTTTGTGTGGATATAGCTAGTGCATATTCAAGAAAAACCTTTATGAGTCCCGTCTTTTTTCTGCAGGAGCTTTTTTGCTGCGAATCAATTCTAAATATTGGAGTCCAAGCAGGCTTAAAAAAACAAGCAAATCTTTATTAACAACATATATCAAGGCTAAGAAGCACATAACTCACAGTCCACAGCTGCCATTGTGAAAGGCTGTATGTAGTATTACACGATTTCCGTGTTAAATGCCCTTCTGCCTTCAAGTGCGATGACTTCTGAGGTGGCAGCAATCGGTTCTTTACGGGTTTATTAAATTAGGTCATTAGCAACGAAACCAACTCGCACATGTTCATGGCAATGCTATTCTAGTAACCACAATACGTACATACAGACAAGCACAGAAGGAAAACTAATGGGTGTAGCACATGCTTCTGAAGAAGGTGTACAGGCACTGTCCATGTGCTCATCTTAAATCGGTCAAGAGCAAGAAATATGCAAGCAAATGAAAAGCTGGAAACATGCCACGTATTATCAGGGCTTATACAAATGATGGACAATTGTTCACGCGTTCTAAGAACAGATGAATGTCCAACATAACATGTAAAAAACAGATATGTAACACGTGGCTTTACCTGTGCCGTGCGAGTGTGCGGTGATGTTGCTGCTTGCCGTGGTAATCTCTGCCGAAAACAGTGGTGGGCTTGTGCTGTGTTTCGGTGTTTTTCGTTGAAAAGTCATCCTTTGTAACTTCACATGCCACTGTTGATGTCCACCCGGGCGCACTTCAAAAAAAAAAAACCTGCCTTCTGCCGCTCGGATTTTGATTGAGTGATTCTGGAAAGGAAAGAGGAAGGCACCTAATTTCTGTCTGCCTCTTAGGTGACATAGCGCAGGAGACCGGCTCAGGGTACATACTTGCGATGCGACACAAATACCCTCCTTTTCTTTGCTCCTTCCCTGAGTGCGCGCCGCCGGTCAAGCAGGTTTTGGGACAATAGACACAGTGGCGCACGTTTTCTCCCAACACATCCAGAGGGGCACGGCTAGCATGACGCGTACGTTCGAGGAATCTGAGCAATTGCGGTGCACTGCTTGTTGAGAAGTGTGGAGGCTGGCGCGTGGATGTTTGTCTACAGAATCACTGCTATGACGCACTCAATCTGCGCTTTCGTTAGTTCACATGCAATAACAACTCTAAATTCATTATTTCGTATGACATAGGATGCACATATTGAATGAGCCAGATTGTTTTGCCCCAGGAAGCAAAAATATTTGACATCCTGGGATTAAATGTGTGTGCGATAACTTGAATGAATTTTATAGTACCTTTTTAATGAAATTTTACAAGATTGTCTACCGAGATTCTGCAGATCACTATACATTTTCACTGCACTCTAATTTTACAATAATTGATGAGCAAATGCTCATATCCTTGGCATGTCCTTATATGGACAGCCAGCCAACCTTTAAAACTTAATGTCCGGTCGCACATCCAGTTCGGACATCCAGAGAACAGCCACACGGGACATGGATTTTCACAGTATGTTCACTGGCTATCCGTGTTGGATATCCATACGGCTGGACATTCATATTCAGAATGGCCAGCCAGCGGATATCCGTGGTTACTTGGGAGTGGTTAAAGAGAGCACGAAGGCCATTTCACACGCTACCATAGCCACGTTTATGAAAGGAACGAGCTGCTCACAGACGAAAAAAGAACGAATTGTTATGGTTCACACTCATTCTGTGCGTACTTGTGCGTTTGTTTCATTTATCTTTTTTATATTTTCACAGCAATGAAGTTTTAAACGCCGAGCTGTGACAGGTCGTCCATGCTCGTCTTGTGTGTGCTCATTTCATGCTTGCTTTGTGCTTGAGGTGCCCACTGCAAGTTTTAAGCTCCTTGCCGTTCTTCGCGTGACATTAGAATTTGTTGCTGTAACATCCATTACTTCACCCTTGTGACAAAACCATTCATAAAAACGCTCAAGTGCCTCTAGAAATTCATATTTCACTCCCATGTTACACTGGTTCCTAGACAGAGGGATCAGCTAGACTTTTTTGCGCTTTCAGAGGCAGTTTAGGGGCCCTTTACAGTGTATCGTACACGTGTACTATTACTTTCCAGGGTCTTACCGTTTCCTTGATCATCGGAGGCCGACGCGCCGGCTTCTACACTTCAGCTCCACTGTGCCTGTTCTGGCTGTTGATGTCCGTGGGCGCCATTGTTCGCTACAGATCGATCATGATAAAAGTATTTAATGAGGTATGGTATTAGTGTTTCGGCATTTGTTTTTATTTTACCACAAATCGCAGCTACTAAGTGAAATGCAGATATCCCATAGTCCTTTCCATCACTACAGATGCAGTCTCACAAACATATCTTCAACGGCGCAGAGTTCCCATTCTTTCCCAATAAATCATGTCCGAAAGCAGACAAGCTACGCAATGAATGAAACTATGAAAGTAAAGCAATGACGGGCTATTTACCACAACCTACCTTTGCTCCACAGCGTTCTGGGTGTAATGTTCGGAAGTAAAGAGAGCTCAGAAGGGTACACCAGGGCTTTTTGGCTACCTGCATTTTAAAAAGAAAACCTGCATGTATATAACTGCACATGACGCGATGATGGGAGCCAGGTTTCTCCGAGTGAAGCTGTGGGGCTGGCTCGGCATTCTTGTTCAATTATTCAGTCCCCCCCCTCCCCCCGCCCTGTTCAAACAAAGATATCGTGCAGAACAAGTGTACTGACTTGACGTTTTTCTAGGAGTCATAATTTTCCACATATATAACTCTCCTTAAAGAGACACATTAACTCTCTCTTGGAGATCCGTAGGTCTTACAACTCTGTGAAGAGAGTAGGATGATTTCGAAACAGGGGTAACGTACCTTTTTCACCAACATCATCAGCATCATAATCATCATCACCGAAACCACCACAACCACCACCATCCTGAATGCACCTCCTGCAGGGCAAATGCCTCTTCTATGTTCCACCAAACAACTCGTTCATGCGCTTGCTGATGCCATGTTATACTCTCATATTTCTTAGTCTCATCCTTCTGCCTAACTTTGTTTTTTTTTCTCGTGCATTTACCGCCTCTTGAAATAGTCTACTAGTCCTAAGGACCAGCACTTATCTTGCCTAGGCACTGCACACTCCTCTCCATGCTTTTAGTATCATTGTCTTCATCTAACCTGTGCTTAACACCCGTTCTTTGACCCACTTTGCTCTGTTCTTGCCTGTTGAGGTTGCAACAGCCATTTTCCTTTCCATTTCTCACTGCATTGTCCTCAAATTAAGTTTAACCCTCCTTGTAAGCGTCCAGGTTTCTGTAGCAGTAAGCCGCGACTGTTATGCATCTTCTTGAGGCAAAGTGTTGAACTGCCCTTCATGATTTAAAAATGTTTCTTGAATGTGCTCCTCTCCATCCTAACTCTTTTTGTTACTTCAGTCTGATAGTTACATTGCATAATTACTACCTATCCTAACTGGAAGTTTTTCTTTATTGATGTATTCTTTACCTATATTTACAGGAGTTAGTTATATTCTGCCAATTTTTCTTTCACCTTATTGATACTGTGGATATAGTATATTGTCGACTAGCTTTTGCGAAATCGTGCTTGGTCTTTTAATTGATTGAACTCTTTGAAGGGGGTTATAAATGTATCAAGCCATAACTCACAGGAACAGTCACACGACACTTGTATAGTGTGCTTAGGTTTACGCGGCAGCGCTTCATGTCCAGAATATCATGACGATTCGGCTTACACATCCAGTCTACTCCATACTGTGTTCCTGTTCTCGTTTTTTTTTGCACAAAGCAGGATCATCTAGGCAGCGAGCACAAGATGCAGAATCTCGAGTTTGACTTCATTGTGACGGTCGTCTACTTTCCTGTCGTGACTTGCCAATTTCTGATCAGCTGCTTCGCCGACCTGTCTCCGAGGCTTAAGCAGAAAGTGGTGAGTGGTACACTTAAGCCAATTATCCTTCCCTACACCCGTGTTAATGCAGGTCGCGGGATCAAATCGCGGCTGCATTTCCGATGAAGGCGGAAATGTTGTAGGCCCGTGTACTCAGACTTGGGTGCACGTTAAAGAACCCCAGAACCTCAGGTGGTCGAAATTTTCGGAACATTCCACTACGGCATCTCTCATAATCATATGGTGGTTTTGGGACGTTAAACCCCAGAAATCAATCAATGAAATCAACACCCATAATAATAGACAGCTCTAGTTTTTTCCTGAACTTAATAAAGAAACGTCAAGGACGTGACCCAAATTGACGAAAAAAAAAGAAGGTGACAAGATAGCATGTCAACTTTCAACTGAGGTTACGAAAAAAACGGCAGAATATTCACGGAGTGAACGATGATGAGTGGGGCGAAGCGTCTGCTTGTCTGACCATACTTCCGTCAGTCGGTACTTTCGTGATTCCGTCCGTCTGTCCATTCGTGCTTTTGTTCGTCCATGCTTCCGTTCGTCTGTCCATCCTTGCTTCTGTCTGTCCATGCATCCATCTGACCATGCTTTCATCTACCTGTCCATCTGTCCATCCGTGCTTCCGTTTGTGCATGATTTCGTCTATTTGTCTGTCTGTTCATCTGTTCGTTCGTGTGTTCGTCCTTCCGTGCTTCCAGCCGTCCGTCCGTCCATCTACGCTTACGTCCGTCGGACTCTGTCTGTCTGTCCGTCTGTCATCTGTCTGTCTATCTGTTGGTCCGTCCGTTCACCGGCCTGTTTCCGTCTGTCCATCCGCCCGCTAACTATAAGACATCGTGAACTATACGAAAACCACTAATCCCATCTAGTGATATTTTCAAGGACATATACACGCCCCGTTGCGGTGGTGTAGTGGCTAAGGTACTCGACTGCTGACCCGCAGGTCGTGGGATCGAATCCCGGCTGCAGCGGCTGCATTTTCGATGGAGGCGAAAATGCTGTAGGCCTGTGTGCTCAGATTTGGGTGCATGTTAAAGAACCCCAGGTGGTAGAAATCTCCGGAGCCCTGGCATCTCTCATAATCATATGGTGGTTTCGGGACGCTAAAGCCCACATATCAAGAACATATACACACAACACCATCTATTGACCTATTCATGAACTAGAGGTGCCCTCCACTTCGGCGTCTCTCATAACCATATGGTTGTTTTGGGACGTTAAAGCCCACATATCAAGGACATATACACACAACGCCATCTATTGACCTATTCATAAACTAGAAGTGGCTACATAGTACTACTACTGCTACTACAGAAGGAGCGATCGCAGCCTGAGGAGCTTTGGCCCTAAAAAAAAAAAAAAAAGACGCTTTTTATACGCATGCAGACATATGCTCAGTAACAGTGGGGCAAGATGCGGGAGAACAATTTACAGCTTAAAAAATTAGGAAAAAACTGTAAAAAATGAGTTTTATATTTACGCAAGGTCACAGACGTGTCACTGATATGCACATCTCGTTTAACATTGATAAAATACACCTCAAAACTTCACGTGCCACAGTCTTCTTGCTTCTTGCAAGCATGCGAATATTTGTAAGGTTCGGCCCGGGTAGTTGCAAGTTGACGCCGCCCTACCCTGTTCTCTTCCTTTTTTTTTCCTCTATGTGGGTCGCGTCTTTAACATTTCTTCGAAATAAACCAACTAGCACAACAACACGTTCCAGTAAACTTGATGCATTGGGAGGAAATTAAGCGCGGAATGGATGCTCGCAAAGCCAAGATACACTATACCTTTAAGTACACTTGCAGAGGTAACGGCACTAAAATTTCAAGCTGTCGTTCTTTTTTTTTTGTCGAAGGAAAGGCTAATCCTTCAAGGGGCTGCAAAATGCACTGGTAAGTGCGAGTGTGCCATCAGAAATTATTTGCGATATGTTTTGAAAAGGTAGTCTCTGCTTCTACTCTAGACTAATATTCTGGCGCAACATGTGCTCGAGCAGGATCATCGCAAGCTTATAACCATAGCCGGCCCACTTGTCTCCACTCCGCCAATCATCCTCGCGATGAGTAGCGTGTCCCATTGGTTCGTAGTGGCTGACGGAGACAGACGATAGACAAAAGAAAGGAACACAATACACAAACTACAGAAGAATGACTAGTTGGGCAAGTTCGTACTGATCCATATTGTACTGCGCTTAACTGTCTTCTTTTTTCTACTTTGTGTTTCCATTCGTTTTTTTGTGCAGTACATTATGGTGCACAAACTAGACCAGTGTTACATCTCTCTCACACAGTTAGTGCTTTTCCGATGCACCTCTTTTTCTTGTACCCAGCACAGCCTCTAATAGGCTTTTCTCCCCCTACCACAAGCTTCCTCCGCATCGGTAAATCATTTTCCAACCTGCGCGACGACAATAGACAAGTTGAAGGAAATAGTTTGTTGCAGCGTCATCTGTAAATATGTACAAAAAAAACGGCCAACAGCCCCCATTGTGCATGAGCAGTCTCGTGCGTATGGTCGACATGCATGCCACCTGGATTACACAAAATGTTCACATCGAAATGATACGTCTATCTCACGTTCATTCTTCTTTTCACTCAGATGAGTGCCGTGTTAGTGCATGCTTTTAGATGTGAAGCAGCTTTTTGACTGAACTGTGTAACACTGTCCCTCTGTTCGCACCGCGTTCCCCTGACCGCAGGTGTTGGGGCAGTGCCAAGTAGGTCACGCCTTTCCTTGCACTGCGCGTGCGTTGACGTCACGCTCTCCCTAGCCTGTCACTGCTTGCCTCGTGTGATACCCGCAAAACTGTCCTTCCCTTCCGTCCCTCTCTCGCCTCGCAAGGTCGTCTGTTAGTAAAAAAACCGGCTGCTCGCTCTGCACAGCCGTTCACTGGTCACCCCGTATATGTAGGCACTGGATCCCTTGTTCGGAATTTAGTCAAGTGCGTCATTACTTAGCTTTGGCTTGATGAGCGCCAGTGTCCACGTCCCCGCCAGTGTAAGCGTTAGCGCTCGCTGCTTCGCATTACTCGGGGTTCCCTTTAGTGGGAGATGGTTAAATTTTTTATTAGTTCTCGTGCACAATGGTGGCTTAGCCAAGAGTTGCCTGAACATGTCTGAGCCTTTTGAAATGTTTTAGTATTGGTGCAACTCATCTACTGCGAAGAGTCGGTAAGAACAGCTTCTCCATTATAATGCTCTCGGAAGAAATACAACAGAAACCCGCATACACATAAAAAACGCCCACAACATAAATGCCAAACATCATGCGAGAAAATAAAGATTAGTATTCGTTGAGAATGAGGACTCATTAGTGGAACCATTAATGGTTACTTTTAAATTTTCTTGTATGCGGTATGAGCCACAATATTCGATGTGCGCATACATGTACTACATTCCGGTAAATGACCCCAACTCGATCAGCCTATTGCCTTCGCTTCTAAAAAAAAAAGAGCCCGCTTATCGAAACAAAATCAGAGCCAATGTGGTTGACCTGAAGGTATATCAGTAATACTCAATCTTTGAAAGCCTAGTGAAAAGATGAGTGGTTACAATTTCCTTCTTTCTCACATTACAGAATGCATGCCCCGAAACCAAGGCGTCCTTCATATCAGCGATTTTCTTCTGGTGGTTCAATGGGTGAGTGGAAAAAATAATCGTATCTTCATGACACCGGCAAGCTGTTTAAGTATTTGGAAGCAGTGAGTGATAACTATATAAGACAAAGCTGTTTACGGAGAATTACACGACATCAAAAATGTCGTAGATCAAGGCCCGTTCTGCTTGAAACTAAAGCGGACGCTTATCACTTATTATTTTTCCAATTGATACTTTTTGCACCCAACGTAAGGTCTACATATTAATGGAATGAGATGAATAATCTCATGGCGGGGTGCAGCTTGCGGTGTGTTTATGGGCGTCCATTTTCAGGAGTGAGTGAATAAACCTAATTACAAGAATTACAAGATCTGCCACGTTTGTGTTTTGGGTTAGGCCGCACAGGTTGTAGACCTTGTTTCCGCATAGCCTCTCTGACCTGCTGGATAGCCCATATTTGGTGTTGGGCCTCCAAACTGAGCAGCACTAGCCGCAACTGCTACTGAGGGGACCTCAGGAGAACTTGATAAGTTGCGACATTACCACAGTATATGTTTATAAGAAACACTTGCGGTTGTGGATAGTTTGTATTTATTGTCCAAGGGTATAGAGGTGGGTAGCTCCTGTGAAGACGCACAGGGTTAGGGTGGAAGTTTGTAGCTGTCGATGTTCAGATGCTTGTTTCCTGGTGCAAGGTTCATCACTGGTTGTTGTTTAGTAACGACTAGTGAAGAAGCGCCTTGTCTTGCTCTAGTTGTGTGTTATTTGGTGTCGCATGTAAAACAGTATTTGCGTGGTATGTCGGCGGCGTCAGTTGTGTTCACCGAGAGGTCTGTTTGGGTTGTGCGGCCGATTTATCTCTCGCTACAGCTTGTGAGTCATCTCACTCAGATTGGTGGTATCAGTCTTGGAGGTGAAAATATTCACCAGTTTTCTCTATTGATGCTGCTGCAATTTAACTGTTATAGGGCTCTGAATCACTTTATAGCTTTGGCCACATTGTGGTGTTGATGTTTCTGGTTTCTTTCACACTGCAATAAGCCCACTTAAGCTACTCAAATGCTGGGTGAAAAGAAACCCTTATCATAACATGAGATCTTCAAGTACAGCATCTTAAAGAAGATGAAAAACTGGGTTTTTTCGTGCAAATTCATTGTGGCTACAATGGGTTTTTGCACTGTTAGCCACAATGAATCTTGACATTCTAACTCCATGATAAAGGATTATTTTCTCTCGCGCACTGCTTGCAAAGTTACCTTGACGACATAGCGTGGCGCTACCCATGTCGTGACGTCACTCATAGGATGCCAGGTTCCAGCGTCTGCTGGTACCCCACATTTTCTGGGCTTTTGCCACCGCGAGTTTTTGTTGTGTGTACCGCGCGCACTTTTCCCTTATTGTAAAGCTCATTTTTTAAAGATGGGGTATGACCTAATAAACCTAGGAATAACAGAGCTAGTGGTTACGTATTCATTCTGAAAGACCCGAACACGAACACTGGAAGGATGCCACCTAGGTCCTGAAGCACGTATTTTCTTGCCGCGCAGGTAGGTGGGGCGGCATAGCTTCAAGTTTGCTCATCAGTACAATATAACAGAAAAAAAGGAAATTCTCACAGCAACGCCAGTGAAGGCCGTCTCTCAGACGATCTAAGTTTCGAAGCAAGTGGAAAGATTACCTGTTAAGGGCTTGACATAGGGAAGAGTTGCTTTGACTATTGGGGATAGATGTCATGATTTTGCTCCAAATGCAACAATCACTGATTGCAATGTTACACGTCGAGATGCTAGGCGCTAACTCCTTTAGGATGCAACCCGGTTTCACTCAACAAAACGAGTAGGTTAGGAAACGTGGACGCAGCATGAAGGGAAGTAACTTGCGCTCAGTCTATGGTTCCAAGGCAACATTTTCGATGATAGGACAGCACGTGTGCAAGTGTATTATAATATTATCTTGGATTTAACATCCCAAAACCACCATAAGGGTGAGAGATGCCGTGGGGAAGGGCTGCAGAAATTTCGACCATCTAGCGTTCTTGAAGTTACCTGGAAATCGCACAGTACACTGACCTATACCCTCTCACCTGCATCCAAATTCAAGTGCCACGACTGGGATCGCACACGCGACCTTTGAATCAGCAGCCGAGTGCCATAGCCACCGTACTACCGAGGTGGACGTACAAATGTCGTATGAGGCACATACAGATCGCCTCTAAAGATGCAGGACAGCCCCACCGGGGTGGTCTAGTGGCTAAGGTACTCGGCTGCTGACCCGCAGGTCGTGGGTTCGATTCCCGGCTGCGGCGGCTGCATTTCCGATAGAGGTGCAAATGTTGTAGGCCCGTGTACTCAGATTTGGGTGCACGTAAAGAACCCCTGTGGTCAAAATTTGGAGCCCTCCACTACGGCGTCTCTCATAATCAAATGGTGGTTTTGGGACGTTAAACCCCACAAATCAATTATTAAAGATGCAGGACATGGGTGATTACGTCTGCCCAATCGATGTATATGCCATATCATGCAGTCCTGCCTCCTGGATCCTTTCTAGTTTCTACACACCTTTCACACCCCAAAGACGGCCGGTGTGTTTCAGCTGCTTTAGCAACGACCATCTTATGCCCCTACACGCTTTCACTCGCACAGAGAACATACGATGCTACGGGTGATGTTATCAATTAGAACAGCCTGGCAAATGGCTGCCGCAAGAAAGCGCCTGGAGCATGTATATTTTATCGTATCGTAATATAAAAAAAAGACTTGGAGGATGTTCTGGTGTTGCCTTTAAGAGTAGAACGCTATAGCATAACCGGTACTCATGGGCATGGCCTTCTCAAATGATAGCTTCGCTTTGTTTCGTGATGGTACCACAGCCGTACTGTAAGAAAGTAAACCTATGTGTGGTGTTGGCTGCTCCTATCAAACGACTAGTGCGAGTACATCTGCTCAAAGGACACTTAAATTCTTTTTGCAAATCAGCGTACATCCCAATAGACGTCTGTAAGGTAATGCTGCGTGTTTGTAGGCAACAATAAAAATATTGAGGGCGCCTCAATCGCTCAAGTAAACATGCTAACACGTGATTATAATTTTAGCGCAGTTGAAAAAATTGCCAGCCTGTATGGAATGCAAAGTCACAGTGAAAGCGGGAAGAGCGGCCTTTCTATAGCATTTTTAAATATTTTTTTGAGTAACTGTTACAAGCGCACTTGCAGGGTACCCACTATGCTATAAAACATAATTTTTGTGTAGTGGAGAGGCACTCTTTATGCCATTCTTGGTCATTCTGTGAAGAAATGTGGTACCCACTACACACTTGCAAGAAATTTTGTGCAATTTTTTTTTATTCTGTGGCTGACGACAATAAATAATTATGCCCGAGTCTTTTGTGATAGATTGGTGCAGTCGACCACCCATTCGTTACGCAGTTCACATAATGTGACACCTGGTTGTTTCCTTGCTGTCCTGAAATGCTTTATTAATAATATTAATGCGATTCCTTTTGCGACATGAAGCCTGCCATGGGTCAGTTTCTTATGTGGTTTCAAGCACTGGCATAGCTCAGTAGTAGGATACTGGGCTGGCACGCAGGGGGCCTAGTATCGAACATTAAGTTCTGAGTGTTTTTTACTTAAAGTTTTCATTTCCTATTTTGCATAATAGTGATTAGAGACAGCAGTGATGGTGGGAAGGACAACTACAGTGCCAAAAACAACCCTTGTTGTGATAAAAAAAAATCTTTCACTGCAAAAAACAAACAAACAATGTGCCTGTGATTTCTTCGGCTTGTCTGTTCGTTTTCATTGGCTATCTGTAGGATGTACAGTGACCTTTTAATGCTAAAAGAGCTTTGCAACGTGTATTTTTCTACACCCTATTGTATGAGAAAGAGCTTGTAGAATAAAGGTTGGGAAAGGTGAAGAAGAAGTTTGTCTTGTTTGAACATTCGATGAATGTTCGCTACATTGTATCTAAGGGCTCTGTCTGCTCAATGGTCTTTCAACGCACAGAGCAAGAAACATCAGAGGAACAATAGGCCAGTTCTCATCCTATGCGATGCCGTACACTACGACACAAATGAAAATCACTGAAAGAGATAGTGTGTGAGAAACGAGGATGTTGTATGAAGGTGATAAAATTTGAAATATAATGCTTCCTGCAAATGAGTTGTGCTTGATCCCAAAAGGTGGTGGAAGAGTTGCGAAAGACAAATTGACAACCACTTCTTTGTAGCATGAGTTCCCAAAGCTATCCATACGGATTTCCCAGAAAGAAGTAACTGTCACTATTCTGCCATCTTGCGGGATTCTGCGAAACTTACTTGCAGTGTTCTGTGTCAATGTCTTTCAGGTTGGTGGTGAACTGGCCCTTGCGCTGTCAATTGCTAGCTTCCTGGTTAGCTCATTTGTTAGAGCAACCGCCGCGGAAAGTGTTGGTTCTGGGTTCGATACCCGTATCAGGTCAAAGTTTTCAGAAATGGAGATGTTGTATTAATTTCCCTGTAACTTTGTGCTACAAACGGGTGCTTGTCAATTTGTCTTTCGTACAAAATGTCAAATTGTCACTGCTTCGTGGAAAGAGTGTAGAATAGAATTTAGGGAGGGCTGTGGGCTGCACTCAGTAGACTGGTAAAATCATATTTACTATAGGTCGACTTACATTGCGGTTGCAGGATGGTGTTCCTTGGATACAAGCAGCCATTGCGCCTGAATGACATGTGGAGCTTGGACCAGGTGAACGCAACGAGAAACATCGCCAACAACTTTGACCACTTTTATCGTCGCGAGAGGCCGCCGAAAAAGTGAGCCGCTGTTTTGTGGGGCCGTAATGCGCATATAGGAAACTATAGAAATTAAGGTATAATAAGGAAGCATAAGATGTCTGTTCGGTCAACTTGAAAAAAAAATCTGGACTCTGAATTCAAAGTAAAGGCCGCCGAAGTTGCCATGTATGTAATTGCATCGAAGAATCAGTAGCCTAACAGAAAAAAGTGCTATTGCAAGTGCAGTTTTACTATTCAGTTTTCATAAGTATTACAAATTTCAATAAGTAGAACTGCAGAAATAGAAGAGTTTGTTCGTGCTCACAATATTGTAATGTAATATTTATCCAGCATATTAGTGAATGCAGAAGGATTAACTCACATAATGCAGCTTATGATCCAAAATTAGTTTTCATTTAAGATATTTGCCGTGTAATCAATTTATTTGTGCAAGGAATATATTGCTATGTGTTCGTAATATATAAAAATTGTCGAATACTTTGCACTGGAGACTTTCACAGCTGGTCGTATATTACCAAGGAAAATTCTGTAAGTAATCGTGCTAGAAGTTTAGAGCCGACTATCATAGCAGTGTTCTTAAGAACCCTATGCTACGAAACAAAAACTCCAAAATCCAATTGTTCAGAAAGTGCAGTATATTGAAAAAAGCCCGGCTCTCACATCTACTATGCAGTTAACCAATTCATTGAAAGGGTGATGCGTTCATGTGCTACGAGTTATTATTGTTTGTTTTTGATGCAGGCCCACTGCCAGAAGAAGTGGTTCCGAGACCGCAGGTCTCACATCCTCGCCTGAAGTTGGCATAATGACGCCACTCTTTCGAACCTTCCTGCCCGAGCTCATTTTGCTGGGTTTTCACAAGCTTGCCGGATCACTGCTCACATTCGTCAATCCCCTGGCTTTGGAGTGAGTACATGTTTGGCCAAAAGTTCAGTGTACCTTTGACTAAGAGACCAATGTTTAACCATATCAAATAAAACGAAGTTTATTTTCATTCTGTCGTGCAGGAAAAAAAGACTGGCACAAAAAGCTGTTTTCTGAACAGTTTGACAAGTTGAAGACCAACTATATAAAAATATAAAAAAACAAGCAGTTAAAGCACTCACAGCGCTACTGCTAATAAAATAATAAGTGAACTCTTTGCACGTAGCGTGATGAAACATGACATACAAAGTAAAAGATGATTTTAACATAATACTGAAACCAATCCAACAATCTGTGTAATAAAAGATTAGGTACAAGGCATTTTCTTGAATATTATATTATTATTTTATCAAAATACCAATATCTTGACCAAAATACGCTGAATACAGGTACACAATTATTTTACCTTCTTACAGATAGCTGCGCACACTCAAACCGAACGGAAATGTTGTAGGCCCGTGTGTTCAGATTTGGGTGCACGTTAAAGAACCCCAGGTGGTCGAAATTTTCCGAGCCCTCCACTACGGCGTCTCTCATAATCATATAGTGGTTTCGGAACCTTAAACCCCACACATCAATCAAATCAACCCAAATGAAGCAATACTATGCATGAATTTTTATTTGACATTGAAAGAAACTATGTTACAGCATCAAGTGCTAAGCAATCTAAATCGAGTCTTATACAAATGCAAATGACATATGGGCATCCTGATCTGAATGTAATATGGACATATGAATGTAATATATGGATTTCTTACGAGTCTAACTCATATTTAGGCATTCAAATTCAAATTGGGCACCAATTCAAGCTGACTCATGTAGTTCACAATTCCAAACAAAACCCAAACAGAGTAATAAACAAAGCAACAAGTCCGTTCGAAGCCCGCAAGCGCAAAGACTAGGGAAATCTGTGTACTACCAATCATTTCCATGGTGGGAAAGTAAAATAGGACTTTTGGAAAGCAGTTCATGTTCAAGTGAAACTGATTCGGTTTCTCTTGTGGCATCTCATGCAGCCTACTGATAAGATACATGGACTCGGACGATCCTGCATGGCACGGAACCCTGTTCTCCTTTACCATGTTCTTTGCCTCGATGGCAGAGTCCCTGTTCAACAGCCAGTATGAGTACCGCATATTCCTTGTGTCCATGCGCATGCGCTCCGCTATGATCAATGCCATCTACAGGAAGGTACGTAAAACTCGTGGTGCTTTTTGTACACGAGTTTTTTTTAAAAAAAACTTTACTGATATAAGAGAAAGGCAGGAGCCAGGGGAAGGTGGAAGCATGTGAAGAAAGTAAAATGAGCAAACTATAGTTGTCCTTATGCCGACCTTACGACAAGCGGACGTTTCAAGACTGCAATTGATTTCCTTAGCGCGTGAAAGTGCTATAGTTGGACACCTTTTTTTGAACAGAAAATCAGCACTTCGACGGGAGGGGGGGGGGGAGGGGAGGAGATTAAGTTAGTGTTGAAGAATAGGTGCAATGTCAGGTCTTTGGCATGCAGTGCCATTTACTGTAACATTGCTTTCTTTGAGCCAAATAAACCTGATGTACATACAAAAATGGCACACTGAGCCAAGCTACCAGTCTGATTACAGGCATAAAATACCAATGGTTAGAATGACGCTTCATTTAGTGCTTTAAAAAAACGGCAGCATATTCACGGAGTAATTGATGATGAGTGAGTCAAAGTGTCTGTCCATCCGTTCATGTGTCCATCTATCCGTATGCCCGGACGTATGGATGGTCGGACAGGCACGGATGCACGAATGAACAGACGCACAGATGAACGGACGCACAGACAAACTCACAGGTGGACGAACAGATGAATGGAAGCACGAATAGACAGACACACGGACGGCAGACAGAAGCATGGACGGACGGAAGCATGGATAGACAAGCAAATGGATATACTCACGGACGGACAGTTGGACAGAAGCACGCGCTAATGGAAGCAGAGACGGCTGGATAGAAGCATGCACAGACAGACAGATCGAGAGATGGAAGCACCAACGAATGGATGGATGAGCAAATGATTGAACGCACGGACTGATGCATTGACAGTTGAACACACGGACGGATGCTTCGCCATTCATCGTCATTCACTCCATGGATATGCTGTGAAAACCACTAATGCCATATTGTTATATTAATCCCAAGGACATATACACACAGTGCCATCTATTGAGCAAGCCATAATCTGGGGGTGGCTACATACTACATATAGAGGAGGGAACGACCCACGTCCTAAGAAGCTTCACCCCTAAAACGGCCAATGACGGTTGGTGCAGAGCGCTAACTAGCTGAGCCGGTCTAAAAGCAGAGTTTTAGCAGCCCTAAGTATACGCTCCATACCCTCTTCTCCCATTCAAACAAGTATGAATGAAAGGGCAACTGCGAAAGTGAGTATAAGAGAGAAGGAGTGGCTGCCATGACGAATTAGAGACGTCAAAAGGAAAGCGGCCCTTCGTTCAGATAACCATAATTCAGTGAATCGTCTTTCTCTCATGCAGCTTTCTTTCTTTTTCACAAACTTTCTCTTTTCTTAAGGCTGATCTCATCTTGGCAGCCTTCCTCTCCTTGCTCTGCTATCGCAAGGGCCTTCTCCTCCTTTATTGTTTGATTTGAAGGAGATGGTAGAAAGCGTAAGAAGACATACGCCAAAGAAAGCAGTCGCAGCCTTGAAGAATGAAGACAGAGCCCACTTGTTAGAACATCGTCTCAAGCACAACCCCTGTTCACAAATTATCTACAGATGTAAAGTTGATTCCTACCCACACTAATTATCAGGCGTGATATTTGTTGTGTTTTGGTTTTAATCCCTCGATAGAAAGTGTGTATGCTAATCTTGAGGGGCAACTGCACTGCTCTGTAGCGGTGAAATACAAGAAATATGGACCGAATTTCTTTATATGCATGTGTGTCCACCTTGTCTGAGTGTATGTTGTTCATTAACAATTGCAGCAATCCTTGAATAGGCCGTTTGCTTCCTCTTCCTCTTTGTTCGTACATGTTCTCGCATTTCATCTTTTATAGAGAATGCCCAAAAGTAAAAAAATCGTTTGAGCTAAATTGCTATCTTGAAAAATAGTTAAAAAATCAGGAACTATATATATATCACCTAATTTTTATGGCGCTTTCGGCATAATAATAATGCAGTTTTGTTTGCAAGAAAAATACAATCTGGAAGAACGCCGGGGAAAAGCTGTCCCAGAAGCGTGACGAAGGCCTGAAATGTCCGTACATGAAAATAGCATATACATGACACGAGATACTAAGTAACTTTACGTAGCATTCACATTGAAATTTATAGCAATAAATTTGGAAGGCTTTACACTAAACAATCAGCACCAATTTCTAAATAAATAGTAACATGGACACTTCGCACATTAATTCAGTGCATGAGTTGTCTCAAGTTACAAAGATAAAAAGTAATGTCACAGATGTTTTTTTTATTTAATGTGGCTGTATGTTTATGCCAGTTGATGATGATTTATGTATCCACATTACACAATGTTCAGTTTAGGTGAAGCAGTTGTGTCAGGTCCTTCTTGTACGAGCCGGTGTTTAGTTCCGTGCTTCCTGAAAATATTATACTTTACCGACTATCTCAATGTAATTGTTTATTTCAGTATTACCATTATTGTTATTCGTTATTGTAGGCGCTGACGCTATCCAGCTCTGCGAAAGGTCGCTTCACCACGGGAGAGATCGTGAATCTTATGGCTGTCGACACGCAAAGGATCATGGAGTACATACAGGTGAATGCGCAGAAGCAAATAGCAGATTTGACTTGAAGAAATGTGGAATGTACTTTGTATATGTAGGATTTCATAGAGACCAGGCAAAGGAAAAATCACTTCCCAGAATGCAGAAACTGGATTGTTGAGCACTGACTTTAGAAGAACACAGAGTGTCTGCTTTGTGTCATGGTTATTTTATTCTCTTTTTTTGTTATGGTTTCACTTGAAAGTTCCTTCATGAACCACATGTCCTTAGACCCAGACCCTCGAGCCAGATGCCTTGTTTTACAACCATGCGATAATATATTACCGATAAAATTTGTGAAAAGTTCTTACTGTTGCCGTGCTGATACAATACAATGTTTATGTGCTGTGTGCAAGGGAAAGATATAAAAAACACATTCATGTTAAAGTCTACGTGCTCGGTAACAAGCGAAAGCATAGCATTATTTGAAGGATCTCATCGGGGTGCCTGTATCTTGGAAAACAAGATACGGCTCTGTTAGAAACCAAAATCGGTCAGATGTGATTGTGGTATACAATAGCTTACGACACAGATGACGTTGCATAAAAGCGTCCTTTGTACAGTACGATTACTAATGCCCACTAAATAATAGTTAACTGCTTCATTGATTCCACTCACAGGTGTTCAATTACTTGTGGACTACGCCCATTCAAGTGGCCTTGGCCACCTACCTACTGTGGCAGCAGCTGGGAGTGGCTACCCTGGGTGGCCTTTTCGTCATGGTCAGCCTTCTGCCAATCAACGGCTGGGTCACCATGTACCTGCGAAAGTACCAGGTAACATTTAAAAGGTCATCTATTCATGAAGCCAATACTGTCGATATTTACGAGATGACAGGATTATGTTTTAGCCCTTGGTGTGTCAATGAACTACGTGATCAATGGGGCCAACATACGTGGCTTGCGAACGAGACTTCGTATTCGCAAATGCAAATAAGTAATTGAACAGTCAGAATAAAATTGGAAACATTGCATACCCAAGTAACCACAGATACCCGGTAGGCATACGATGGGTCGTACTTTTTGGATATTCCGGACATCCATCAGATCTCTGCGCATGTACATTCTACGTACGATGGACGTACTTATGATTTACAAAGCTAACAAATTTGTACGTTTGCTCGACATCTCTCCAGGACATCCGACATTGACATTGACAGACCCTTTGAGAATATATATATATATATATATATATATATATATATATATATATATATATATATATATATATATATATATATATATATATAGTGTTTGTGTGTGTAAAGGTAGTGAATATTCAAGAAAAACTTTTTATGTGGACCACGTACCCACACAGCCTTGGAGGCTTGCGTTTTTTTCACGGGAGCTTTTCTGCTGCAAATTAATTCTAAAAAAAAGAAGTCCAAGAGGGCTTTCTAGAACAATCAAACCTTTATTTTCAAAATGTATAATGCCTAAGAAGCACTTAACTCACAGTCTGCAGACGCGATTCTGAAAGTGTGTACGTAGTCTTACAGTGTTCAATGCCCTTCCACCTTAAAGTGCGATAACTTCCTGGGTGGCAGCAATTGCTTCTTTACGGATTTAATAAATTAAATTATTAGTAACAAACTCAACTCGCACGTATTTATGGAAATTCTATTCTAGTAACCACAATACGTACATACAGACAAACACAGGAGAAAAACTATTGGGTGTAGCACTCGCTTCTAAAGAAGGTGCAGAGGCACTGACCACGTGCTTGTCCAAAATTGGCATATAGCAAGGAATATCTGAGCAAATGAAGAACTGGAAACATTTCACGTATTAGCAGGGCTTACACAAATGATGGGCAATAGTTAACATGTGATAAGAATAGGTAAATGCCTGATATGAAATGTAAACAACAGATATGTAACATGTGGCCTTATCTGTGTGGTTCGAGGGAGCAGGGTTGCTGCTGCTTGCTGTGGCAATGTCTGCCAAAAACAGTGGTGGGCTCGTGCCACGCTTCAGTGTTTCTTGTATAAGAGTAATATTTCATAACTTAACATATTGCTGTTGATGTCCACATGGGCCCACTTCAAAAAATTTGCCTTCTGTTGCTCGCAGCCTCAGAGACCAGCTCAGTATACATACGTACGATGTGACATGAACAGGATTCTTTCTCGCTCTCCTTCCTTCTGTGCAACGCTGGTCAAGCAGGTTTTAGGACAATAGGCACAGTAGTGTGTGTTTTTTTTAACACATCCAAAGGGGCATGGCCAGCATGACGTGTACGTTCGAGGAATGTGAGCAACTGTGATGCACCGCTTGTTGAAAAGTGTTAAGGCTGGCGCATGCAAGTTTGCCTACACAATGAGGGCTATGACGCACTTGATCTGAATCTTTGTCAGATCACATGCGATATTAATAACACTAAATACATTGTTTCTTATGATGACGTATAGTACACATAGTGAATCAACCAGATTGTTTTGCCGCATGAAGCAAAATTATTTGGCACTCTGGGATCGAATGCTTGTGCATTGATTTGAATGAACTTTATAGTAGCATTTTCAATGAAGTTTTACAAGATTGTCACTCGGGAGATGGCAGACCTGTATATATTTTCACTACATTCTAATTTATCAATAATTGATGAGCAAATAAACATACCCTTGGCATGTCCCGCTATGGATAGCCAGTCAATGTTGAAAACTTAAACTTCCGGTCGGACATCCAGTTCGGACGTCCAGAAAACAGCCACACGAGACATAGATTTTCACAGTACGTACATTGGCTATCTGTGTTGGATATCCATATGGCCGGACATTCATATTCATAATGAACAGCCAGTGGATATCCGTGGTTACTTGGGTAACGGTTATTGCCTACCAACAGATGCATGAAACATTACTATGCCTTTTACTTTTCCTTTGAGGATATCTGAAACGAAGATAGTTGGTTACCTGCAATGTGTTGTTTATTCGTGTATGAATTGATATGGAAACTGATTGTGATAGGGAGGGGCACATTCCTCAAACTTAAAAAAAAGTGTTGCATTTGGAGAGATCGCCAATGACCCAAGTGCATACTTTGTTTGCAGCTCAGCATAATGATACAGAAAGACCGGCGCATCAAGCTCATGAACGAAATGTTGGCTGGCATTAAAGTGCTGAAGCTGTACGCTTGGGAGACGGCCTTCCAGAAGCGAGTACAGGATCTCCGCAATGTGGAACTTATTTATTTGAAAAAGCAGGCATACCTTAATGCGGCCATCGTGTTTTCCTTCGCATGCGCACCATTCCTGGTAAGTCATTGTTATAAATATTGTTCGATATTAATATTTTGCCGATGATAGATTGCTAAATTATACAGGACGGTTATTTACACTACTTACAACTGCCCTGGGGAGCCGGAAAGTCTATGGTTCACTTAAGAAAGGTCTCTGTGATTACCTCTTTTTTGGCCACTGAGTAAACTTGGATTGACCACTCTTCTTTCAGTCTTGTTAGTCGCGCCATTTGGTAGCAATAGTCTGTCATGGTCCAGCAAGGAGCAGTCATCCTGTTCGCCGAACATGTACGCAGAGGACCTGGTCACCCAGTATTTACCATAAAAATTGGCGAGAGTTGCTCAGAAATCCCGCGATGGTTACTGAGAAGATCTTTAACAGTCATACACGAGTGGAGCTGGAATCATTTGCTTACTGTCTTTTTCATTTCAACGCTTGCATTATCAGCACCTTTGCAAGCTTTTGAAAACATGTCTCTTAAAACACTGTTGTGATGGTTTTGTGTCAGGCGCTCCTAGTGCAAGTGATTCATCAGCATGTCTGCTGTGTCTTGGAAAAAAAGAAACAGTACAGGTGGAAAAAACTTTATGGAAACAGAAGGTGCCATCCACTTGACAGCAGCAAGGAGCTAGAAGCAAACTATATGAGGTGATTTGAGAAACGTAGCTGAATTAGTGACTGATCTGGTTTTATTTTGTGGCTTTGCACTTCCCTCAGGCAACAGCGATAATTTTTTGACAGCGAAGCCGAGAGTGATACATTGCTTGGTGTAGTACCGTATGGTATTACACTACTACACAAGACGTACGCAGCAGCTGGTAGCCAAGCAGGAATGCTTTTTATATACAGAAGCACCACTGTATATACATATGTACAGTGCCCCCTAGGGGCCAGCCTACCGGCTCCAAAACCGAAACCACGATACCACATCATCCCCCCCCCCCCTTGAATGAAGATGTGTGGTCCTCCATGCAACCAACGCATGATAATAGAATGAACAGAATACTCGGAAAAGCAAGAAAATGTACAACATAACAGCGTAATGCGCACAAATGTAATGCACACTTGAGAGGGAATGACATCACATCATCTCCCCCTTGAATGGAAAGCATGGGGTGGTAACATGTGTCACAAGCACACACTGCACATAGCACAATTGAGGATACGAATGTACAGCAAGCACACTATCAAACCAAGAAAGCCACATGAAAACAAAGCACAGTGCGAAATACACCGCCCATCATCCCCTCCTCCGGGAGAGGATGCCCGCATAGTCACTGCGATGTTTAAGTGTACAGCGCTCACACCTGTAGCAGTGCCATTTCTATGACAGGCCTTGTCGCCGCCCTCAGCAGTCCGGTGGTACGTAAGAATTGGACCATGTGCTGTCCATCCAGTGTGCTTCTGGTACAGAAGAGGCCGGAACAAGCAGAAAATGACGATCTGACGGGACGCGGCTCAGCGTCACTACGCAGGTGGCGTGCACAGAACAAGAACGGGCACGACTGGTGCAGACGTGACCAGCGGAAGCACCTTCGTTTTATGCTGAATCATCTCGGCTGTCATGCTCAACAGGTGCACCTCCGGTGTACGGCAAACAGAAACAGTGTTCCGGAGATCATAATCAATCGGAAGAAGTACAGCCGGAGTGGAAAAAGCAGCAGGCAGAATGGGCAAGCTGGCAGCGAAGCTGGAAAGGAGGTGTCTGCAGCAGCGAAGGGCGAGGAGGTGCATGCAGGAGAAGTCCCACCAGCACTATCTTGCACCGAAGTTTGAGGAAGACGGCCGCCATTTGGCCTGGCATCTTGAAGCGCTTGGCGAGCTGAGCCGCCATCTTGAATCGACGCAACGACACTGCGTGGACTTGGGGTCCTGATAACTGTAGCAACGCACAGTCGATGCGCTCCTCATCTCTCGCTACGTCAAGCGCCTACTGTACGGAGAAGTCATTGGCCATCTTAAAAAAATTCATTGCAGGTGGGGTGACGCGATGCCAGAGATGATCTGGCCGAAAGCGAGGATATCGCCTGCCGTGCTGAATTTACAAAGCTTGGTTACTTGGCGTACTTCCTGAATGAATTCTACCGCCAATTGGTCTGGGCCCTGACACAGGGCTTTGAAGTAGGCGCAGACATGCCGCGTCCGGTTAAGTTCATAAGGCAGCGCAAGGGCTGCGTTGTACACATTCGGCGTCATATCCTTAGTTGGCTGGTGGGCTCCCAGCTGCTGCTCGTCTTTGGTGGCACGCAGGTAAGTGTCAAGTCCCTCGACGCCCAAGACGTTCAGCAGCAGCGCCTTCTTGTGCTCCGGCATGGCGTCCCTGGCAGCGGCGTCAATGTAGGCCTGCAACACAGGACACCACTGCCTCCATGGAATAGGCGGTACACCGGGGCACTGAAGGAACGGAGGTGGTGGGATAGCCACCTTCGCGCTTGCCAAAATGTAGTATCGTGCGGTGGATGTGCCGCACAGAGAACACAGGGCACGGCGCTGAAGCGCCGGCCGACAAGGCGTACGTAGCAGCTGGTAGCCAAGTAGGAAATATTTTTCATATACACAAGCACCACGATACATATACATATGTACAGCATCCCCTAGGGGCCAGCCTACCTGTTTCAGAACCGGTACCGAAACCACAGTTGGTATCTTTTGTGGTGAAAGTGATTAGTAAAAAAAAAAACCCAGTTTCACAGCAATTCAACAGCAACAAATTGTAATGCTATAAGGAGAAAGGCTGTTAGCTAACACTGCTGGTTCTGATCTTGCCGAACTCTACAAAAATGCTGGTATAAAAGAATGTGGATGCTCCACGGAGAGATGGGCTTTTCGCACAACCTCTTCGTGTTGAGAGCGCAGCTGATGAGAAGTCCACTGATGCCTGCCAAGTGCCGAGATAGCCCGCCCTACAGCAATTACGACTACGCTTTCGATATCAAAGTTTATGGTTGTTGCTCAAGAAACAGTGCAATGAACACATCCCAATATGCACATTCAAGCAGAAGTACAGACAGTTTACTGACCTGGCATTTTCAGAGACTCAACACAAAGGCAGCCCAGCAAAACATATACAGTACTCGCGTAGGAAAATGTACATTTTAGAGCCAGTTATTGCGGAATATTTTGTTTACATTGTCGTCAGTTCAGGTAATGTTGTGTGCACACTTAGGTCCCTCAGACAACAATATCTCCAGAGAACACGTTCTTCACGACATGACGTGGTCGTCTCGAGCGATTGAACATAGGAGTCGTTATACTGAAAACTTTAATGTAACATTCGAATCCATGAGATTTGTAAATGTCAGTATGTACTGTGGTGATCACACAGCAGTAATCAATGTTTTCACAAAAATATATTCGGAAAACTGTAATCCACAGTATGGGCCTTACTCATTCTGCGATGCCATTTGTCATGGTGTTCGACAGCTTCGCCGGTCAATCATACTAGCTGATATGAGTGTCGGTCGCCTTATGTAGTGAGGGGTGTCTTAGGCCTAAATATCCCAGAATAATTGCAAAATGTGACATTTATAGCCCCTGTGCTTTGAATTGTCGTTGAATGTGCTGTTGCTATGCCATCCAATAGTCCTATGATTGAGTGCCATGGTAGAACGAAAACTCGTCAGCTCACCCCTATAAGGGCAATTAGCGCTTCTAAGTTCAGTTAGAGAAGTGACGGAGGCCAGTGCGAGCCTGGACTAGAGGCTCAGCACAACGTACTTCTGATTTAACTTTTTTATTGTATATTTAATAGAGTTTTGCTTTTCTACTTCTTTCGTGAAACAACTGTGTTTGAAATATCGTCAAGCAAAGAGAAGCAATCTGAATGTCACTTACTTTCTTTCTGAAAACAGGTGGCACTAGTGAGCTTCGGTGTATACGTCACGATAGACAGTCAGAACATATTGGATGCGAACAAAGCATTCGTATCGCTCACGTTATTCAATACCGTGAGGGTGCCGCTTGGACTCCTGCCACTGATCGTCTCCAACACAGCCATGGTGAGCAGGACTACGTATAGAAATGAGTAATATGGCTTCAGTGCCTTGGTGTAAGAACTTCACTCAGTATTCATAGCTTCTAGAATAAACATGTCCTAGTCTTGTTGAAATGCAAGCAAGACAATGCAGCCCTATGTATATGAAACAATCAGTGAGAGGCGGGCTAGTCGGTACCCATTTTTGAAGAAGTAAGGAAAGCGAAAAAGGGGCAAAGCAGAGGAAACACACAAGAATAGGTCATATGAATGTAATACATGAGGGCATAGTCATATCAATATATAATTTTAGGTTGATCAAAGGTGGTAAATAATAAATGCTGAGCCCGTAAAGATGCATTCCTTATAAGACAATGTCATGGAGCCTGAACTCCAGCGGCGATTGCTTAGTCCAAGAACAGTGTTCAGCAATAGAATTGTCATTTATATAAAAAAACATGATTTCCGTTGTATATAAACCACTGTATCCCATTAAAGTCGAGTAGCTAGATGTGGTACGAAGAGTTATATCTGTCATAATGCAAAAACAGAGGAAATGTTTGATTTTAAAACGTAGTGATTGTAAGAACGAGATGTTTATAGGGTGGTGAGATGTTTATGTTTGTTTTGGTACCATTTCACCTGTGAAAACTTCCTGAAAGAGGAAATAAGTCAGTGAACAAGTAAATGAAGAGCACTAATATCGTGTGAGCAGGGTAGTTAATCTTTGGCACGAAGTTTTTAGGAAACTGAAAGCTTGTGCAATCGGATTACTTTTCCCCAGACATACTGGCCTTTAAAATAGCTCTTGTTTTTTGTACAGTTCTTGGTGTCCCGTGACCGCATCAACAGCTATCTTCGCTCGGACGATTTGGATCCAATGGCTGTGCAGACTGATGCCAATCAAGGTTTTGCCTTATTCTTCTTTAAACGCAATTGATGATTGTGAAAACTTGTTGCTTGTTACTGAAATGTCAAGTGTTTTGTGAACAGTTCTGTATGTTGTAGGAGTCGTAAGTGAATTATGTATTTTGTACTTGCAAATATGTTTTCTCTTAAATTGGGCTAAATATTTTATTTTACTTGTATGGTGTGCAAGGTGCCCATATTCTACCAAGACATTTTGTTTTTGAGGTGATCATGCATTGGAGCATTGTCGTTTATGACTGGGGATGCTATGAAGGGACATTTGGCATAAATAGAAAATATCAGGTACTTGATGATAGAAAAACATCTCGATATTAATTGTTAGATCTTAATGTATTAGGGATGAATGGCTACACAATACGACAGAGCAGGAGCGTTGGTTAGCCTTTGTCGTCACATTCGGTTACAGTAGTCTACATAACACGAAATTATTTAAAAATGCAACATTTCCTTTCAACACTCTTGAAATGTAACACTCTTGAATGCTGTGGTGAGGCTTCGCGATACAATGCGTTAGAAAGTGAACAGAGGCAGAATATTTGATATCGGATGTACCTCTTCAAAGAAAATAAAATGTCGCTAAATCAGTGTTCTTTTACTGAGTACCATCACAGGGCGTCGCAAATGAATTGTTTTGTCATAATGCAACTTATGTACATATACAGCTAGTTACAGTCACTTAAAATTGCACATGAATCTCATGTTGGTAATCTCATGGCCACTGTTAGGGACAGAGATACAAAGAACGAATATAGAATTACAAAATTTTCATACTATAAAAATAAAGTATCTTCACATTATAGGCATTTTTTCATACAAAACCCTTCTGTTCCTTCATGTATTCACGACTCGCTATGCTGCTCTGGTGGTTATGCTGCTTGAACGCTGAATTGCAGGTCAGGGTATCGAATCTCGACCCACTTCACCTTGATTAAATCCAATTTTCGATGAAAGTGAAAATGCTTGAGGCCAGTGTACTTGTTAAAGACTACAGCGGACAAAGACTGGAACGTCTCAAGGGTACGCAAGACTATTTGTGTGCTGTAGCCTATTTGTGCGCTTCCATGGTGCATTACCAACTAGCCCACCAAGCGATCCTCACGAACTGTGTGCTTAGATTAAGGTACACGTTTAAAACTCCTAGGTGGTCGAAATTTCTGAAGTCTTCCACTACGGCGTCTCTTATAATCATACTAAGATTTTGAGACGTTAAACTGCAAACATTATTGTCGTATTCACACATCTGTGGGGCCCATGAATTCATAATAATCATACATACATATTTTGCATAACTCGCTTCTCCAATCTGAGTAAATCTTCCTGTATAAGGAAGGAGGCATTGGGGACTAAGAAAGAAAGCTCACAAGGATACTTGACGTAATTGCCCATGAAGACTAGAAATCAAAATCAATCCACTCCTTTAGCTGCCGAGTCGATATACTAATCACCCTCTTCTTGCTTTCAAGTAAAGACCGAACCTGAAACTTGTAGACAACACAAGTGGGGCAAGCAGCTATGATTGAATGATTAACTTTGGTGCACAAGACAACAAAACAGGTCTTGCATTCGTCTATAAGCGTATTTTGCATCTGTCTACTGTTTAATCATTCTGGCAACTTTCGTAACAGTTCTGTAGCAAAACACTATGCATTGGCCGTTTCCACAATTACCCGGCTTTAGTTTGGTCGAATAAATTTGACAGGGTAAGTAAAATGTCATCACTGAAAGTATTTGCAATAAAATATAGGCTGGGATATTTTATAGAATGCTTCCAAAAGAAATTGCCTCAAGGAGCAATTGGAAGAGTAAAAACGAAAGTAGCTTATGTATTCGGCTGAAGCAACTCAAAAGCAAAAGTGAACTTTTTTTTTAGATAGTGTGTTGATTCTATTCCGGCAAGAACCAAGAGAGTTCCGCACTTAACGGGATTTTACACAGCCTCCAAGACCAGAGGCGTTAACATTTTTGCACTTCACCTTGCTTTGCATTACCTCTGTTATCGACCCCCCCCCCCCCATTGACCAAGCGATGAAGTCAAATGTTGACAACAGCATTTGCTGATACTTTATATGACGTCATTATGAAGTCTTAAGCCGTGGCCACCTGTGACGTCACTGTGATGACGTCACATGAGGACATAATCCTGTGACAATTTGTTGCTCACTCGCGCTGACCCCAAGGGGCAGTCGAGTTTTCTTGAGCTACTGCAGTGCCAGAACATGCAGCTTAGCGGATAAACAAAGCAATAATAAGACGATGTGGGGTGGTTTGTGGTCGGATGAGATGAGATACGCTTGCATGTGTCTTTTTTTTTTCTGGGTGCCCCCAACAGCCAGTATTAGCAAACTTGGGACGGGCCAGTGGGAGCAGTGCAGCTCCCTCTAGCCAGATAATGGTGACTTAGGTCAATATGCGCGTTTGATGAGGCAACTAAGGATTTTACTTTATTAAACTAATGTAGCAATACTCCAGTATACAGTGCAGTCTAGACCCAGTGCCGTTGTGATTCTGACACCTTTAATGATTCCCATATTCCTGCAGACGAGGCGGTGAAGGTAGAAGATGCCTCGTTCGCCTGGTCTCGAGATAGCCCAGCAATGCTCAATGACATAACAGTCAGCGTGCCCAAGGGTTCACTCGTCGCCATCGTGGGCTCAGTTGGATCGGGCAAATCGTCCCTGCTGTCAGCCTTCCTCGGCGACATGATCAAGCTCAAGGGATCCGTAACTGTTAGCGTAAGCACTGCTTTTGTCGTGGTTATTCTGGAGGAATGTTTCCCATAATTATAATGCAAAAACTGCACATACACTGCAATTCTGCCTACAGTTTTAGTAGCAGCAGCCATCTGCTGACTTTAAGATCAAGGGGCCAAATGCTGGCCTCCGTGCATGCATTGATATGAAGGTAAAATGCCACAAGCCCACGTGCTTAGTAGAGATGAGTGCACGTTAAAGAACCCCAAGTAGTCGAAATTACAGGAGCCTTTATTTCAGCGTCTCTCATAATGATATTGTGATATCGGTACGTAAGGCCCCAACAATTATTACATAAGTATTTATTGGCACTTTCCTTTGCCTTGTGCTCTAATGTTCCCTTCTGCGACGGTCCTCGCTAGAATGCAGAGAGAACATCTCTAGCAGCTGCTCTAGCTGGCATAAATCAGAGACCGATGACGGCAGAAACAATTTTGGAATGTCGACCTCAGAGGACATCGTAGGCCAAGGCGATGAAGGCGTTGCTCAACTTCCTGAAGGCAACAGACTTGCATCAGAGATTATACATTTACGGTGCTACAGTGACTGTGAAGTGTGACTTTATGTGGGTGCTCTCTCCTCTCTATCTCCATCTTTAAAACTCCCCCACCCCTTTCACCGGTGTAGGGTAGCATACCAGCCACTCTTAGAGTGGTTAGCATTCCTGCCTTTTCTCGCCTTATTGTTCCTTCTTTCTTCCTTCGAAACACTTTAATTTTTCAGAAATTACAAAGAAGAATTCTAAAAAGCGAAGGGTGTACAAAATCGGTGGTTCTTATCAAAGCTATAAGTTGTGTTGCATACATCACTTACTCGAGCTTAAGTTAACTCAAAAACTCGCGTCGCCTAACGGCCACTTCTTGCAGCGGTGCCTGGCTTCACCGAGTGTGTCACCTAGCAACACACTGAAGCAAAAAAAAGGAGGGGCAGAGGAAAAGAGAAGTGAAGAAATAAAAAGGCATTGACATTCCTGGTGAGATAGGACTCGAACTTGAGTACCCACGGTCCGAAGGAGAAGGTCGTAGCCATGCGGCTATCCTGGCTCGCTGACAGAGCGGGTATATGTGGGAGCCATATGACTATCTTGTTGCGGGCTAGAGAATGACAAAAAGATAAAAGGAGAAAGAAAGCAATGGAGAAACAGACAGAAGGCAAGAGAAAGCGAGAGAAGGTGTATAACATAGCCATGTGTTGTATAGTATAGCAAGGAGCGTGGAAAGTGATGTGAGGACGAGCGATATAGATGGAAAAAGTGACAAGGAAGGGACAGAAAAAGGGGAGGCCACCAAATTCACTGTGTTACAATCTTATCACCAATAGTGAGTAGCTACCCAGGTTTTAGGGGCGAAGCCTTTTAAGCCATGGGTCGTGGGTCCCTGATGTATGTAGTAGTCGTAGTAGTCGTAGTGGTAGTAGTAGTAGGTATCTGTCTCGTCTTTGGTCCTCGGAATGTCTGCTGGATGACGGTACTTCTATACGATGAATGTATGATAAAAATATGCAAGATGGCGATACTTGAAGAGTTCACTAGACGGACAGATCCATGGACGGACAGAGAGACTAGAAGATAGATGGACGCACGGATGGATGGACAGACGCACGGATAGATGCACTGGCAGACGTGCAAATGTATGCACGGACAGGCGGACGGACACACAGATGAATGGATGCACGGACAGATCCACGGGCAGACAGACAGACAGACAGACAGACACACAGACAGACACACAGACAGACGGATGGATGCACAGACGCATGGACGGATGCACAGACTGTCGGACAAACGGCTGGACGGACTCATGACGGATGCATGAATGGATGCCACAAGACCACGTTACCACGTGTGTTCGTGAATGCACGAACAAAAGCAAGAACGAATGAACAGACGGAAGCGCAGATGAACTGACAGACGCTTTGCCCCACTTATCATCACTCACTTCGTGGATATGCGGCGAATTTTTTAGCGGTAAAGCACTTTAAGGTCGAGGCTTGTCCGTCCACGTTCGCAGTGTCCATCACGGGTAGATGCATGAATGTGAGACACACAAAAAAAAGTTTAGCAACAGTCATCAATATAGAGGGCCCAAATTAAACACAGACTAGCACAAATCTTTTATACTAGTCGGTGACTTCAAAGTAAACATTATGGACTTTAACACCCAGCTTCACCCACTTGTCATCATTCACTTCGAGCAGATGGGTGGACTTTTTTTTCAACGCAGTTTCTGTCTGTAACCATGATGTGCATTTGTGAAAGGTGGGTGGACAGAGCACTGGAAATCTCGCACATCCAATGAAAGATTGAACAATACTATAAGCTGTCATTTGTGGTCGATAAAAATAGCAAAAGAGCATAGGCTTCACCTACGCCTCTTTGCTGTCTACCACACACTTGGTTTTCGCACTTCGTTCGTGGCAGGCCGTATTGAAGGTGGATTGTAAATAGAAATTTTATTCCACAAGAAGTGTATGTTACGAGGAAGACAGGTAAAATGTGTAACAACAGTTTGAGGGGCACTTACCTTCTAGTACGCAGGGTAGAAAACAAGCATGCGGCTGGGTAAGTACAACCTACTGAAAGATATATGCATGCGTTTCAAAACACGCTTAAAAGTAGGTATTGATGAGGGCCTAGACAAGATGCAATCGTGCATTCGTGCATCATCCCCAACACCAGCATTGGGGAAAACCTATACTCAATACTAATCTTAGCACGAAAATGTTTTGACAAATACTAGGCCAGATGATTCATTGCAGTATTTTCAAGCATGGAATTTTCTCGCTAGTATTTTTTCACTCTGCGTACGGAGTAGACAATGGTGGACTGAACAACACCTTTTATTTGTTTTTGGTAGAAGAGTGAAGGTAAGCGCATGATGATGCTTGTTCTACACTTGCAGGGCTCTCTAGCCTACTCGCCTCAGCAGGCGTGGATTCAAAATGAGAGCGTCAGGAACAACATCCTCTTTGGCCACAAGTACGACAAGGACCGCTACGATCAGGTGGTTGAGGCATGCGCCTTAGCTCCAGACCTGGCAGTGCTGCCCGCGGGTGACAGCACTGAGGTTGGTGAGAAGGTAAGTTTTGTACCCAGGCCTAGTGACTGGCACTGCACTTCTTAAAGTAATGTACACATGACAGTAAGTGTTGTTGTGCGAGTGGTTAAAGACTAACATTCCTGATGGTTCTGTAGAGCACCTTAACTGGTGATATGGCGGTCATTCGCTAGGCACATCATCATTTGCACATCATCATCCTCACGTGGCAGTGGCGTAGCCAGGGGGTAGAACTTTGGGCCTGTGCCCCCTTTAAAGTTTGTTTCACCATGGCATGCAGCGCAAGAAATTACCATTTCATAAAAACCCTCACGTCCCCCCCCCCCCCAAAAAAAAAATATGCCTATGCTCCTGTCACGTGGTGTTAATTACCATCACTTGTGGGGACACATTTTTAGATTGCTCTGTGCCTCCGATGTCTTCAGTTCACCACGTCTACAATGCGTATCAAAGACGTGTCAACTGCTACGTCACAGGAGGTCGATGTGCTGGAGTTCTTCATCACTATTTTGAAGTCGACAGATTTACTGAAAAATGGAAGGGGAGTACAGCATGAGCTCCGTGTATGGTGTGTATAGTTTGAAAAAAATCCCTGAGTATGTACTCACTCGTCACCTTCATTTCGTGTCGTATTCCCAGCTTCTTCTCTTATGGCCATCGTGTATTCACCCAACGCAGTAGCCTGGGGGTTATTGTGCTCGAGCTGAAGGTCGGGGGATGATAGCCCGGTTGTAGCGACATTTTTGATGAAGGCGAAGATGCTTGAGGCCCGTGTACTTAAATTGCAGTGCATGTTTTACATTTTGGTACACGTTAACAGCCCCAGGTGGTGGTCGAAATTTTCAAATTTCTCTACCACGGCATAACTGATAATCATTTCGTGGTCTTGGGACGTTAAACCTTAGTGATTGTTTTAGTGATTGTGTATTCATATTTCTCTCAACTAATAGACAATGATGTCAAGGAAAGTATACGAGATGTTAAATCGCAATGTAAATATGAAGAAATAAAAGTGGGCTGGGAAATAGAAGATAACTTGCCTCTGACAGAGACCAAACCTGAGGCCTTCGAATAATGTGTTCGATGCCCTACTTACCAAGCTTCCACGGAGGCCACCGCTCCTCCACTTTGTGGGGTAAATATGTGCATTTAAAATTGGGAGCGTCAGTCAGTGCCACCAGTAATCATGATAGTGAGTGTGGAGCACTCTTTTACAACTTGGTGGCATCACATAGCATGTCATCTTATAAGAACTGCCAGTGGACCAACAATCTCTTGCATACTACTTGGAGGCATCAAGTCTCCCGAAACAAGACTGTTAGCTCTCATTAGTATTGCATCTGACAAAGAAAAGCAAGGCTTTCGGTTTCCACTTTTCTTTTTTGATACAAGATTGCACACTTAAGTTGGCATACTTTTTATTGTGGCACAAAACTGAAAAGCCATGAAGAGTGGTAGACAGTCCCTTCAAGAACCGCGGCTCATAACTCCTGGTGGCTACCAGGTGGTTATGAAATAGCAAAGCATTAAAACATTCTAAAAACCTCCTCTACAAAAAACTGCCGTTCTTGCATATGCAATAATGATTTAGAAACTTGCCAACTTCGTTACCCAGCCAAGTTCTGCATATACAGAAGACCTTTGGATGGTGCTGAAAAGGCAGAAAATATAAATGCTCCCCTTCGCTCGTTACCTCTTCTGATTTTCACTGGCAGGGCATCAACGTGAGTGGTGGCCAGAAGCAGCGCATCAGCATTGCCAGAGCAGCGTACAGTGGCCGTGACGTCTACCTACTCGACGATCCATTGAGCGCCGTCGACTCGCATGTAGGCAAGCACATCTTCGACAAGGTCATCGGCCCCAAGGGCATGCTACGGGACAAGGTGAGAGTGCCCGTCATATAATCTGCCTGTATGTAAGAAGCAGTGTTTCGATGTTGCTATAGGTGATAGTCAGTGATAACACCTCAATTAAACTTCTGTACTAGGCTAGTCGGGGCAAGCTTGTCAACCCATCTTTTGTTACTTTTCTTTTTAGATTATCTTCACAACGATAGAAGAGTGATGCATTGTTAACGAAGGCAGAAGGTATAACAATAGACATAGAGCCCGTTGTGACTGTTGCGAGTTGATGTTATTGCTGTTTTTCTTGTTTAGTTTTTTCCTTGAACACTATACACTCATTTTTCATGAACACTATATAACTAGCTCAGCGTGAATCTCATCTAAAAATTACGGGTGTTGGTCCTATTCTCAGTTACGGTGACCTTTCCCCAGTAATGTGTATGTTAGAGCTGAGGGGTGGTCTGCGAAAGCGCCCACCATGCAGAGGCGTCATTTGCGGAATAGCATGGTGAGGAGAACAGCTCGGATAGTAACTCATCTTGCCCGTATCGAATGCCATAGCAACCTCATTTAGATGCTGAATTTCGTTCTAGTGTAAAGTTGAAATAAGGCCATTAGAAGCAAACTTGAAAATTGTAAAACGTCATTTGCAATGCAGTGAGACCCTCCCGACACCACCTCCCATCCATCAATGCCAGCTGTACCCCCAATCTACTCCCTAATCAGCTATGCACTCGTGTGCTGAGATTCCAATGCATATTAAAGAATATCAGGTTGTCGAAGGTATAGGGAGTACTTAGAAAAGGTGAGCCTGGTGTACAAATTGTGGTTTCAACACGTGAAACCCAAGAATTTCTTTTTTGTTTTTTTTTGTTCTTTCAAATGTTAGCATTTAGAGCCAAAGACTAGACCTGTAAATCGTAAAACTACTCGCATATGACGATGAGATAGGAGATGCTGTGTAGAAGTTGATAATTATTACTTGAAATACTCGACCTCACTGAAGCTTCAATGGTGCATACAAAACAGTCAGCTCTTATTTTTCATTTTCTTATTTTCTCAACTCCTTTTTTTGTTCACGCCAAATTCGCCTGTCCTTTGAGCAGACTCGCGTGCTGGTCACTCATCGACTCTCGGTGTTGCCCGAAGTGGACACTGTGGTGGTCATGCGGGATGGACGCGTTTCGGACTGCGGAAGCTTCCAGGAGCTGTTGTCCCGGGGTGGCGCCTTCTCAGAGTTCCTGACGCAGTTTATCAAGGAGATCGAGCAGAATGAGGAAGGTTTCTCGGAGGAAGACGTGGAACTCTTCAGCGCCATCGCATCGCACACGACCTTGTCTTCACCAGAGCTTGTGCGGTAAGCTGTCTTGAGGCATATATCCACTTTCTGGTGGGCTTCGGTGCTCAGTTCGAGATTTCACTCTGAAGGAGTGGTGCAGTGGACCCCAGTTGCTCGGAGGTTGCATTGCAGACTGTCATCAGCGAATTACATCTTACAAAAATACTCTGAATGAACTCGTATTCCGAATGCCTCCTTGAATATGGCCCTGAAAAGCTCCTGTGAGCAATAGTACTGGGGAAATAGTGTCTCCCTGCCTTACACCCTTTTTTATTGAGATCGTGTTACTCTCTTTATAGAGGACTATGGTGACTGTGGAGCCACTGTAGATTTCTTCCAGTACGTTTCTATATGGTTTGTTGATGCCCTCTTTGCGTAGTGCCTTCGACTGAACTAAAAGCGTTTTTATGTCAGCTATGATGGCTATATATTCTGCAGTAACTGTATTTCACTGTATTGGGGCTGTAACTTGGACACATTGATGTAGCCAAAGACAGGATTTGGTGGGTTGGGAGATAAAAATTGTTGAAAATTTTGAGTTGCCCATGAGAATTGCAAGTATACGTACAAAAATCCATGCACATACATGAAGCCTAATTAGCACCCTCACCGAAAAAAAGTAATATTTCAGCCTAAGGCCCTGCTTCAGGACAGACATCAAAACACACAACTCAGACAACGTATTGAAGGAACAAGAATCCATTCTAAATTCAGATTTTGTCGGGGGTCTATGGCTGACCCCAAAAATGGAGTGTTCGAGAAGCCGCAGTGATGCTGAATTTGGTAAAGTTTACTGCTCATTCACGTAAGATATTCGTTAAAAGCTTCCCAGTAGTGATTAAGAGCAAACATCACTTGTGGAGGCTTCTGACTAATAAGCAAGGAGTGCTTACAAGCAGTTTTGTAGATCGAACTCCAGATGTCGCTTCTTGGACTGACCTTGTGCGAAGAATAGTCAACCTAGAACAAAGTTTCTTATATCTATTGCATTATTTCTTTTTTGAAACTGCTGACTTGTGTGTAGGCCCTGCTAGAAAGGACAAAAATGTGCTTCTATCGTTAGCAACAAGCAATATAGCATGCCATGAAATCAAAGCTTTGAAGAACTTACAATGCTCTAGGTGTAATATGCACATCTGTTTTTTTGTTAGGAAACACCTTGAAGTAAAACAAATGCATTTAAAAACGTGAGGAGTCAAGACGCTGCGTTCATCCATCCGTCTATACGTCTGTGCATCCATCCGCCTTCTTGTCTGTCTGTCTGTCTGTCTGTCTGTCTATGCGTCTGTACATCTAGTGAACACTCCAAATACTACCATCTCGCATCTTTTCATCATATATTTATCATATACAAGTAAACCCATCCAACGGACATTCCGAGGGCTAAATAAGAGTTGGCTACCCAGTACTTGTGTTTCATTCGCAGTGCCAGTTTCTACAAATATGACGTTATTGCCAGAGTTCGTAACCCCACGGCCCTGCTCTATTATGCATATTAAACAATTCTGACATGTATCAGCAACAAAGCACATCTTTCAGACATCCTTGGCATTTGGTTTTGAAAATAGGCTTAGGTGCATGCAGATACGTGTAGGGGATTCGAACCAGCATTAGACAAGTTGTTGCTTGTTTTATGTTTCAGTAGCACTTTCTGGTTAGTGAAGTCGCCTGCCCATAAGCAGGAGATCACAAAGCATTTCATAAAAATCACAGAGTCTCGTGTAAGTGTTGCCGCAGGGCAATATAACTATTACCCTAAGCGTGCACAGGGCTCTTTTTCAATGTATTCCCTCTTGGTGACTAGGATACACTTTCATGTGTGCACCTATAACTTGTGACAACCACCCGTCTTTAGTATTATGTTTAAGGTATGTGAAGATTTAAACAGGTTTTTTTTATACATATGCGCAAGGAACACCTTTATGCATAAAATAGGGTTCACAAATTTTTAAATATGAGTATTTTTAAATAGTTGACACAAGCAGATAGATGAACAAGTGACGTCAGGGAGCTGTAATAATATACTCTGTGATTTTTCATCACTTTCTTTCTTTAGCCTGGCAAGACTTAAATGGGGAATACCGCTCATCTACAGTGGCTTTGAGTAACCAACCAGGTGAAAATTTCCTGCTGGTTGGCTACTGGTTCAAACAGTGCTGGTTTATTAGCACATCCCCAGTAGGTAATGGAATCAGCAGGTGATGGAACCAGTGGCTGATGGAACCAGTAGCTGGTGGTTCCAGCAGGTGTTGAAACCAGTAACTGATGGAACTAGTAGCTGGTGGTTCCAGCGCATTGTTGCAGGCAGTCGGCCAACTTGTAACTCACCGACATGGGGCACGCCTCCGAGCAACAAAGTAGGCAATAAGCCTGATTCGAGCTGCATATTGTCAGCTGCACGCTTTATTGCTGCTCGAACCAGCTGAAATAGGGCCTGTTTCTAACTGGAAGTTACTCTCTTCACAGCTGAACAATTGTCACATTACATTTTCGTAATACTTAGTAATATGAGTTAGTAATACGAGTTACAGTGGTACCAATGAGCAGATTAAATTTGTTCCCCTCAATAGCATGTATTTCTAAAGGGGCTGATTTTTAAAGATCCGTTGAGTACATCCATAACACACAAGCATTAATCTATTACATTTTATTACAAATTCAGTATTTACACTTGAAAAAGGTAATCTGCCAGCTTTGGCTCTTGCTCAAATTGTTCCGAATGAAAATTCACAGGGACCTTGATTCGCACCACAGATGTCTGTATTGTCAAGGGCAGCCAAGTGATGCAGGCAATCTAAAACAAAAATATTTTGTTGTCAATGCAGATTGTAACAGTAGATATCAATCTTTAAAAATGCTACTTAACGTCCATTTGCTGGAAGCAGTGCACACGACGACGTACATACTAAGCGAATAACTTTTACATCTATACAGCCCCATTAGTCCACTCAGTAAACTAGAATTAAGCAGTGTGTTAATACTTCATTATATACAGACAAAGAATCATGGCTTATTTACAGCAACCGGCATGCATATGCGAATTCATTAACATCACAAACACCAATGTACGATGACAGTGAGCTTAATAAAGCTCAAAAACATTCAGGATATGGACAGTTTACTTATATTTGAAATAAATATGCAACTTACCTGCATGAAAGATCGATCGCTGAGATGCAAGGTGGGCCTCAATCTGCACTCCCGAAATCAAGACACCGCATAGCATAGCATCAAGAACAGCTCAATTAGGCTGATATTTACTTGTTACATTTTCCACAGATGTAACTTATCCAAAAATAAAGTATTACATGCTCATGTCACACAGATTCCAGAGGAAAATTGCAACTAACACACCGAACATACAAATACAAAGACAGACAAGTGACGACAAGAGCACAACATGTGTTGTACTAAATTAAAGCTCTAAGATGTCGTAATAATTTATACATTATATAAGACTGCTATTTCTTATGCTTTTACCAGTAAATAACAGTAAATAAATAACAAAACTCTTTATTGTGCAGTATTTTTATTATTAAGTAGCTAACTATTCGGTGTAAGTTTGAAAAAAATGCCAATAATAGATACGAGACTAATGCTACTGAGGAGTAGCTGGTACCAATACAACAAGCAGGCAACTTGCTGGGACCACCAGTAGGTCAGTAGGCAGTGTACTGGTCCCAGTAAAGAGCCAGTAGGCACCCTGCTGGATCCAGCAGAAAACCAATGGGCACACTGCTGGAACCAGTAAAACCAGCAGGCAGCTTGCTGGGACCATAAGCAAGCTAGGAGGCAGCGTGCTGGTCCCAATAAAAAACCAGTAGGCACACTGCTGGAACCAGCAAAAACCAGTAGGCACACTGCTGAAACCAGTACAACCAGCAAGAAACCAGCAGCCTAACTGCTTGTTCCATCAAAACCAGCAACTCCCAGCAGGGAACCACCAGAAAATTTTCACCTGGGCATATTTTCTCGTGAAATATGTATGAAAATAGCCTTAGATTGCTCGAAGAACACGAAAATTTACTGTTGGACCTGTTGGTCCCAACAAGAAAGATGCAAGAAAAACTCTCTGGATGATGTCATCCCACGATGGCATAATCGCGTCACGGATCACCCAAATTTGTGACTTCATCGCGATGTCAATCGGACTTCACAGGATGGCGTCATTGAATGCCATCGGTGTTGGCCAAAGAAGAGCCCAGGAGAAATTGAAGATTGCTTTTGGCTTCAAGTCCCGAATGCATAGGGGTCTCCGAGTTTTTGTGTAATAGCCGGACCTGCCCATTTAAACACATTATCATTAGTATCATTACACTGTTGCCATTATGTGGCGTTTATGCATGATTGCCGCTTGTGTATGACACCATGTCGTGCAGGTACCGCTCGGCACGAAGCGAAACGAGCGACATCGATTCGAGCGCCCCTGAGGACTCATACCTTTCGGGCAGCATACGACGCCGCCGGAAGTCGACATACCGGAGCAGCGGCCACGAGTCACCTGGTGGCGCTGGAAGCAGCATGGTGTCAAACGTGGCACGGAGCAAGCAGTCTCTTGAGGACAGGGCATCCAAGGCCAAACTAACCGAGGAAGAGATGGCGCAAGAGGGATCTGTAAGCGTGACACTACTCAAGTGTGATTCTATCGCATCTGGTGATCTCGTTGTATCGCTCACGCCTTGTTTTGTTTTAAATGCGAATGTAATTCTTAGTCGGCGTTGCCTGCATCCGGCGTTGATTGCGGTGGTGTCTGCGCACCAGCAGGTTGATCTCTCCACTCGGACTCCTTCTCCCATAGCAACAGCTGTGGGCGCGCGTGCCTATCCTCGCCGCTAGCAACCGGAGTATGTGGTGTGATAGAGTGTAGGAGAGGGTAGGTGCAGTGCTTCGCCGCTCCTTTTCTCGCCGTTCCTTCTCTCTCCTTTCTGCGCCCCACTCTCCCATCTGCTTGCGCCTCACTCTCGACTGTTTCCTGATTGGCTGTCTCTCAAGAACATCTGGAAATGTGTGCTGGAGACATCGCTGTGAAATGCTAATGCTGAGCCGAGAACACTGGCGCCCCACTCTCCCGTCACTGTCGACCGTTCACTGGTGGGGCGCCTCTCAAGGTGAAGGCGGAAGTCAGTGAAGATGAATGTCTGATGGCTATGGTACCCTCTTTCAGTGCAAGAAATGCATTCGGGTTTCCTCACGATTCCCTTCGGGGAAGTGGGGGCATTTTTTGTGTTAGTATGAAAATGGTCAAGTATTAGCGTCGTTCTGCATAGTATGTGGTGCGTGTATTAGGTGTTTTAATAAAGAGAAAGCGGGCATGTCATCAGAGAAATACACTGCGCAAACAGTCCAGAATAAGGACGTGAAAAACAAACATCGATGTGGAGTGCTGGTTTATCAACTGCATGTTGATTTTGTGAAACGGGCTAGTATTCAAAGTTTAGGACAATTAATAGCAAGGTGAAAGTAGTGGGAAATCCTCACCAACCAACACCCTTTCTTCTTCTTTCTTTTGGGGGATGGGGGATGGCAGCTTCACGTACCCTTTTATGTGTTTTAATATGCCAAGTGTTTCAGCTCTTACAGGTTTGTGTTAACGTTGTGAAGCCTCTTTATTGCTGTAATGCTGTAGAAATGGCGGCATGTGCAACCACACTAGCAATGTCAAGTGTTAAACGCCTGAAAGCATTCCCACAGTCGGGGACATTTTGCTTCATAAATATTGGTCATCAAACTCGTCATTTTTATACTTCCTGTGGACTTGTTCAAGCAGTTCTCCACCTAACCTTTTTTTTCAGGCTTCATATGAGCCATCTTTCACGTTCTCTTTTTTGTGGCTTGGACGCAGGTGAAGTGGCGTGTGTACTGGGACTTCGTGAAGGCCATGGGAATGTGGATGACGCTGTTCTCTATTGTGACATTCATTATATCGCACGTATTCAATATAGCTGGTAGCATCTGGCTCGGACTCTGGAGTAACGACGCCCTCGATCTCAAACTGGCCACGGACCCCGCCCAAAGGAACTACAGGCTTGGAATGTACGCCATGTACGGAACCGTGGAGAGTGAGTGTTCAACCACTCAGTGTTTCGTGCAAATGCTTAACAGGAACTGATGTGAGCAGTTATAAAGGCTCCAATTCTGCTGTGAAGGGCAAATAGTTACCAATAAATTGGTCACAGTTGTTCATAAACGTGACTTTGCAGAACAGTGTAGCACACCTATACCGAACATCAGGATGTGTACTGTTGAGGTTGGCGTGGCAGGGGAACAACCCTCGAACCACGCCGGCACTGCGACAGCATTAAAGGGGCAATGAAACTGAACTGTCAATCACAAGCTGTGTTATGTGGGGTAATCTTTATGCATTCGCAAACAAGCTAACAAAATTTTAGCGACTTATATCAAAATATTTGGTAAACACGAGCGGCCTGAGAGTCGGGCAACAGTAGCACACTCACGAACCGTGACCTAACAAGAGGCTAGTTACGAAAGCGTCTGTGTTTGGTTGAACGATATTGTTCCATGATCAGCTGCATGTGAAATTGAGATATTTTAGCCACCTTCACTCAGAAGCTGAAATTAAACAATGTGCATTGGCCGAAACATTGGAAAAAGACACTGGCATCTACCAAATTAGTGTGAGAAACAGCGGTCGTGGTAAAATGACTGAGAGGTTGTAGGGCATAATTTCAGATAAGCATTTATTTGCAGAGAAAATGCTACCTCACAAGCTGCACAGAGGGTTGTGCAACACGCAAAAGGTCACTCAAGCATGCCCTTCTAAATGTCATTAACTTTTACTCTTCATAGGCCTACGCAACCTGCGGGTGGCACACCCAGCTAAACGATTCCATACGGAGGTTTATGTCGAGGAATGTGCATTCTGTGTTGCGGAGAGCCAGCAAACGTGCACTCACACATCGATCACCCATATTTCCTAAACAAGCCTAGAAAACTTCCCAAACGCCATCAGCTGCTTTATTTTCCTCCATACGCTAAGCCCAAGACAACCCTACTGCAAATTTGATTATATAATACTATCTGCTGGTTATAGACCCAAAACCATAATATGATTTTGAGGGATGTCATAGTGAAAATCTCCGCACATTTCGACAACATAGCGTTTTTAAATGTGTACCCAAAGCTAAGTACATGAGCCTCACACATTTTCGGTTCCATTGAAAATGCAGCCACTGCGGGAATTTGATCGCAACAACGTGCCCTAAGTGAAGCTTCATTGTAGTACTCACAACGACCGGTTCATTTGCTGCACACGATACAATGTCATTTTAACCCTCATTGCAGCCGTGTTTATCCTGTTCGGTGGTGTGTGGCTGAACCTGGCCATGCTGCGGGGCAGCCGCGTGGTCCACGAACGAATGCTGCATCGCGTGCTGCGTGCACCCATGGCCTTCTTCGACACCACGCCCATGGGTCGCATACTCAACAGGTGAGCCAATGGCGACAGCATCCTTTAAGGGTGCAGTTTGGTTATTGCACAAAGGGCATGGCTGACCTTTAAACATGGCACTGAACGGCTGAACGCCCGGGCTACTAGGATTAGGCGCTTAGGTACCGGTATGGTTCCCTATATTGGCGACGCCTGCTCATGTAGATACACGTGCGTAGTATATAAAAAGGACCATCAGCCTGAGTATGTTCACTGCAGGAAATATACCTCTCTCGTGATCGGCCAATCAAACCGGTGCTGTGCTACTGCTGCCATGTCATACCTGCAAACTTCCTAATTTCATGTACCCACCTAATTTTATGTGTTCCCCTCATGCGTTTCCCTTAGCTTGGAATTCTGTCAGTTATCCTCAATGACCACCAGTTATCCTGTCTACGTGCTGCGGCCCGGCCCATGTTCATTTATTCTCCTTGGTGTCAGCTATATTATCCTTAATTCTCGTTTGTTCCCTCACCCATTTTGCTCTCTTCTTGTCTCTTCAAGATGTACCAATCGGTTTACGTTTCATCGCTTGTTGCGTCGTCCTCAATTTAAGCTAAAACCTTTTTGTAAGCCCCCAGGTTTCTGCTCCGTAGGTAAGTACCGGTAAGATGCAGCTGTTCTATGCCTTCTTCTTGAGGGTTAATGACAAAACATATGACTAATGACAAATATATCTGCCAAATGACAGTATTACTTGACAATCTTCTCGCTTTACTTCAGTTCCGTCATAAGCTTTCACCTCGCTTCTTGTAGGTTCTCAAAGGACGTTGATGCTGCGGACGTGACGCTGCCATTCAATGCCCGCATGCTGCTCGTGCAGTTTATGCGCACCGTGGTGGCGTTCGTGCTGATCACTCTACAAACCCCGCTCTTCCTCACCGCCGTCCTACCGCTCTTGCTCGTATACTACTACATACAGGTATGCCATATGATGGGACGTGTTTACATACGATTGACATTGGTGTATGCAAGGGTGGTTTAAAAAGGCCTTGGGCATTCCAGTGTAAATATATATAATGTTGTATATGGTGTAGAAAGTGGTGATGTGGTAGCAGAGGAATAATAGTACTTGGGTTTCGACGTGCCAAAACCATGATATATGATTACGAGAGACTCCTTATATAGTGAAGGACCCTGGAAATTGATCATCTGGTGTTGCTTAGGTGCAATCGCATAGCACAGTAAACTGGTTTCTAGCATTACGGCTCAGTGGGAATGCGACTGCCAAGGCTGGGATCGAACCTACGGGCGAATGATAGAGAGATAGAGCTGAAGCCTGGGCATTTGGTGTACAGTCTGAGAAGAGCACGAGAACTGAAAATAGTAATGCTCAGAGAGTGCAGTGAAGGGGAGTCATACTATTTATATTTAAGAAATTTTCGACACTCGATTTCTCCACCAAACATGAACATTTACAACATCGAACCACTCGAGCACAGAAGACACAAGCAGAAACTAGAATTATTTAAACTGCTTTGGACTAATACTTTATTTCTTGACTTTATATATATATATATATATATATATATATATATATATATATATATATATATATATCTTTCGTTGCTATCAATCAGATAAGTGACACCATCCCCATGATGCATGACCATCGTAATTTGGTAGAATGAGCACATGTTAGTGTTTTTTTTGAGGCCAAGCTCCTAAAGTCGTGGGTAAGTCCATACCATACGTCTTTCGTGACTGTTTCGTAACCACCTAGTTGTATGACTCACTCAGTAGGTGGCACTAGTGTGAGTGGTAGACAGACAGACAGACAGACAGACAGACACAGACAGACAGATGGATGAACGGACAGACAGACAGACAGATGGATGAACGGACAGACAGAAAAAAAGGAGACAGACAGACAGACAGACAGACAGATGGATGAACGGACAGACAGAAAAAAAGGACAGACAGACAGAAAGACAGATGGATGAACGGACAGACAGAAAAATGGACAGACAGACAGACAGACAGACAGACAGACAGAAGCACGGACGGAAGGAAGCATGGCCAGACAGACAGACAGACAGACAGACAGACAGACAGACAGACAGACAGACAGACAGACAGACAGACGTACGGATAGATGATTGGACGGACTCACGAACAGAAGCAAGGATGGACGGACAGAAGCACGAACGGATGAACAGACAAAAGCAGGTACGGATAGATGATTGGACGGACTCACGAACAGAAGCAAGGATGGACGGACAGAAGCACGAACGGATGAACAGACAAAAGCAGGTACGGATAGATGATTGGACGGACTCACGAACAGAAGCAAGGATGGACGGACAGAAGCACGAACGGATGAACAGACAAAAGCAGGTACGGATAGATGATTGGACGGACTTTATGTTGCCTTGTTATGAATTCTCATTTCATATTCTTTTTTATTTGTTTTATCAAAAGTGTTCACTGTATGTACCGTTTTTTTGCTGTGGTACTCAGCTTCTGAAACGAGAGAGGTGGGCTCGACTAGGTGGTGGTGGTCACATTTTGATGTAGGGGAAATGCAGGGGCCCTTGTATGGCACGTTATCAGTGCATGTAAATTAACATCAGATGGTTAAAATTTTCAGAGCCATACACTATTTGCAATATTTCTTATTATCATGTCTTAGATTTGGGACCTAAAACCTCTATTATTAACATGTATGTACACTTTTCTGACCTTCCTGCTTTGAGCAGTATTCAATAAATATCAAATTGAAAAAGTCCCAAGCTTAGAACTTCTTTGCGTATGTACTGGACCAAACAAGTTGAAGGGCATTGCAGGCACACCAGATCTAACAATTTAAATAGACTGTACTGTCATGGTGTGCGAAATGTGGGATGGTGGGAGCCAAGAAAACAAGGGGCCAAGCCTCCTGATGATCACTGTTTTCATTGGCAAAAGACATTGTGAACACATCTGTCCGCTGCTGACGAGGGGCTCAGTGACTACTGGTTTAGGGATGGTGAGCAACCATTAACTGATAAAGAGTAAAGCAGGACAGGAGAGGATCGTCAACGACCTCAGACGATCATCAGTGGCACAAGCGACAAGGTGGGCCCAAGCGTAATGGTTAGATTACGTAATGAAGCAAACAGGTGAGGTCGGTGGCTCCCGCTGGTGAAAGGAAGAGACAGCTTGACAGAAAAGGGGGTGGCGTAAGTAGTGGCAAAGGCAATCTGTTGGCCGCGAAGGTTTGACGCTAGCAAAGTCTGAGTAGGTCCCCCACACGAGAAAAGACGGGTTAATGACCCTATTATTAGGCCATCTGGAAGCAAGAAGGGCTGCTTGATAAGCTGACAGCACTGCTGAGGTGTCACATTTTGCTGCAAACAGTAGCGGGTTTCACTTTTCTTTTCGATTTCCCTCTTTTGAAAAATCTATCCCCCTCCTGATCGGTTTACTGCTTGCCAAGCATGCATTCTCCTATCTCTGGCTATGCAGAAAGTCTACATTGCTACGTCACGGCAGTTGAAGCGGCTCGAGTCGATCTCGCGGTCGCCGATCTACGTGCACTTCTCGGAGACGGTTACCGGGAGCAGCTCGATCCGGGCATACGGCGTTGGCAAGCGATTCGTCGACCACTCCGATGAGCTGACAGACATCAACCACAGCACCTACTTTCCCAGCATCGTAGCCAGCCGGTGGGTGCTTTTAGCCTAAACCAGAACGCGTCACTCATAAGCGAAATGACTGGAGAGAATTAATTGGTGTCGACTGACAGTGCATGCTTTGCGAAAGTCCATGACCCCGTGGCTTGCCTTACAGTCTCAGGTGAAGTGCTGAACATAGGTTTATAAAAATGAAGGCATGGTTAACAGCTCTATCATGCAACAGAATCAAAAGAAGATATTTAAAAAAAATATAGGTTCTGAAATGATCAATCGCATAGTGAAGCTTGAAAGTGCGAAACTCCAGAATACATGCAGGTGTATTAAACTGAGCTCGAAACTCGTAAATAAGCCGAAGTGTGACTTGAGGGAATTCAACAGACATGCTGCTTCTCTTTTAGTTCCCACATGAAAAAACAAATGAGCCTTTTTTATGGTCACCAGGCTGCAGTAAGGTCACTAAAGTTCAGTATAAAGCTTTCTTCTATTAAGGTGAAAGCCTTTAGTGGCTCATACTTATGGTGACCATCCATCCGTACATGCCCTGAAATGGTGCCAGCTGAGGCCTTTCCCCCCCCCCCCCCCACTCTCTCATCAATCACACTATTGCTGAGAGAGTTTTACAAAAGGGAAAAAAAAAAGACAAGGTGTAGTCAGTCGAATGGCTATATGCTTTCGCCAAACACGCTTTCCGAATTCAAAGAGTGTCCATCAATTCTCAGTCCAGTGCCTATATACATTGTCTTTTACCTCGATAAAAAGAGATACGTAAAGGTAATGGGGCACTGTCTTGGTGCCAAGTAAACTGAATTCATTTCAAAATAAAATTATGCATTTCCTTTGACATACACCTATTTTCCCATCTGCTGAACTGGAAAGCTTGTATGTAAGCAAAAACATGAATTTCACCCTGATGGTGACCATAGGCTATAGATTTTTTATAGCCGACGGTAATAATGAATGGTCAGGCTGACAATGTTACAAATCCTGGATGGTAGCTTAGATAGGCCTGCAAAGTGCCTATATCTCATAACGGTATATATATATGTAAACCAAAACACCACAGTATCGTGGCAGGTATTGAGCACTGGCGTACAAGGTATGCCTGAACAAACAAACTAGTGACGGGATGATTGTTACAAGTGTCATGGATAGGATTTTTCTCATTGGCGGTACTGCACCATGTCAAGTAAACCCATACCATGTGTCGACGTTGCCGCAGAGGTAATAGCTGTATAGCTCTCAGCAACAGTCAACAGTCGGTGACATTTTTTTGCTACTTTCTTTGAAGTCTACATACGGTTCTGCCCAAGCATCTTGACGTTCAAGTTTGATATTAAAGGTCCCAATGTGCATGCCTTCTCACTCCCAGGTGGCTTGCCACAAGACTGGAGTTCATCGGCTACACCATAGTGCTAATAGCTGGATTGCTGGCAGTCAGCAGCCGAGACATCCTGTCGCCTGGCATGGCTGGCCTTTCGGTCAGCTACGCTCTCACCGTGAGTGTCCAGCTACTGCCTTGAGGGGACTTCCACACTGCCACTTTCACATGATTCTAAGGCAGCCTGAGTTGAAATGAGAATGCATTCTTGCATTGCCATACTTATGTGTCAATGGCACCACATATAATTCTGTTACGTGCCGCTTTTTTCCAGGTTACGTTGACGATGAACATGCTGGTCCGTTCGACCTCCGACACGGAAACGAATCTTGTCTCAGTAGAGCGCTGCTTGGAGTACACTAAGGTGACGCAAGAGGTATGCACAAAGTTGTCATCTCTACAGGCTTAATTTATAAACTTTATGATTTGTATTTTCTAGTACGTTTCAGTACGTTATACGTGAATAGGTCACGTGACCGTATGTCTAATGGATTGTGATGGACGTTCGAGATGCATAACAGATGAACAGCATCCTGTATGTATGTATGTATGTATGTATGTATGTATGTATGTATGTATGTATGTATGTATGTGTGTGTGTGTGTGTGTGTGTGTGTGTGTGTGTGTGTGTGTGTGTGTGTGTGTGTGTGTGTGTGTGTGTGTGTGTGTGTGTGTGTGTGTGTGTGTGTGTGTGTGTGTGTGTGTGTGTGTGTGTGTGTGTGTGTGTGTGTGTGTGTGTGCACATGTACGTTCAGTGTGCGTGTTACGTACATAACTGCGCAAGTATGTATATGGCGAACCTTCCTTACTTTTCTTGCATTGTGACCTGGCAAGAATTATTTCACAATCATTTCTAAATATTATGCTAATTTAAGTAGGTACTTGAAGTAGAACTGTATCCCTTTAAAGAAACTGACTGACAACTAGCCAGAACGTGTCACAATACGCTGGTCCTGACGGAATAGAAAATATTTTTTAGGATTTGAATAGATTTTAAATGTTGAATTTGCATCTGAAAGGCTCAGAGTCCCGTGACTGGACAAACAAGCTTTTGTACTGTGCAAATCCATTGTTTGAATCGTTACGTGTAATCTGCTGTTGTTTAAGGGCCTTGCAATTGGTGCTTAAAATAGGAGCTTGTATATTACGATTCCTCCACGATTTTTTATTATTCACTACGGAGTAAAATGAGTTAATGCTGGCAAGCTGCACCGCTCTCCTGGCAGCTGCAGTGATAAAATGTCAAGCTGCGGTGCATGCGCGATTAATCACACCGCGCGAGCATATGATCACCTACCACTCCTTGAAGTTCGTGAAGTGTGCGAGGTATTGTCGTCATTTCAGAATGAAAAATAACCCACCACGGTGGTCTATTGGCTAAGGCACTTGGATGCTGACCCTTAGATCGTGAGATAGGATGCCAGCTACTGCACCTGAGATTGAATTCTGGCACGGCAGCCGAATTTTCCATGAAGGTGAAAATGCTCAAGGCCGTGTGTGTAAGTAGGTGCACGTCAAGAACCCCAGGTGGTCGAAATTTTCAGAGCACTTGACTACGGCATCTCTCGAATCATATGGAGGTTTTTGGAATGTTAAACCCAAACAAATATTATTAGAATAAAAAAAATTCACTAAATATTTCATGGCGTATCCAACATTGTCACTCAATGATTAGAAACACTGAGTGGTAGGCTTTTAGTTTAACTGTAAAGCACATATGTTACATAAATACTGGTTGTCACTCTTTGAGGATTCCTAGCTTTGTACCTATACAGTAAGATCACGCATGAAAGGTCTTGAAGAGTGTTCATTATAACTAGATGGGGTGTGCAAACACGGACACAAGAAGAAAGTTATGACACTACAATCGTATAGTAACAAGAGGTCACTAAAAGAAGGCTGACCTTCTAATCTCCCATCACATTGTCGAGAATATAAGTGCACGTTAATGTTCTACGAATGCACTGTTTAGTAGCGGCATTCAGATGAAGAAACATGTCTGATAATTGAGGCACAGCTTATCGATAATAGTTTCAGCACACGCGCAAGCCAATCATCGATTAACTTGCATGAAGACAAAATCTAATATCTCCACGGTTATCTTTCGCGTAGAACCCCATGTGTGTCGAATAGGTTCGCATAGCGTATGAGCACGAGCTGATAAGTTTTCGCGCTCTCTTTCTTTTTTTCGTTGTTTGCATATTTAATATGAGAATGACCGATAAGTTTTTGCACTCTTTTCACCATTGTGCGCATCTTCAGTCGTTAGTCTAGGCGTTTATAGTGTCCTAACTTCTTTCACGTGTGCTTTTATTGTATGCCTCCTCTATTTATAATGAATATGTACTAGCTAGGTCAGCTGTCTGTTATTCTTCTAATTAAATCTCAAAGACTTATGTAAAACATGCCATACAAACTTCTGCTTTAGGCTGCCTGGGAGAACCCTCATTTCAAGCCGGACCCTTCATGGCCAGTCACTGGTGAAGTCGAATTCCAGAATTACTCGACTCGGTACAGAGCAGATTTGGACCTTGTCCTCAAGGGAATAACATGCGACATCAAGCCTGGGGAAAAGGTACTCCCTCCAGTTCAATCTGCAAAAACAGGTAGACAGATGTTGATGCTGTGATACCACAAATTGTGTATTTTATCTGCAGCAGTTTAGACAGATGCGAGCGAGACCAGGCACAGCTGTCTCGTGCCTGATGTGTCATTATCTTCTTCTACTGGTCGGTTTCTTGTAGGATGCACTAGTGCGCCACAACTCCACTGATTGGCCGAATGCGCCCGATGGCTCATATGGGCAGGGCATTCTGAGTGCGTATTGGCATTCGACGATATATTTTCATTTATTATACATTTTGTAAGGTTGGTCAGCATTGTTGCGAATCCAATTTTGCCTAGTTTTGCCAGCAAATGCGTATATAAAACAACCAAAAAAGTTCTTCTGACTCAAAAACTTTGGCCTCGCATTTTTCTGCGGCAATGTGTTGCTGGGGCCTGTCATACCCCTGTCACACGAGCAGCCACGAACACCGTTTATCTGCCTCATCCTTATCACAGGAGAGATGCAGTCGGTGTCACACGGCCACCCTTACTCAAACGAAGGTAAACGGATCACTCTGCAAATGACATTCGATGATCTCCCTTTGCAGTAGAACGAGGTACTCTCGTCCCCAGTATCTGCAGGTCAGAACAAAAGTTCGATGACTAAATTGCCGCAGTGAGAGCAATAATGCAATTTGGCAATAATAAATGTTCTTTTGTTGCAGTACTCATTCAAAATGTGTGTTTATTTACATAAATATATGCCCGCCAGAGTGAAGCTACTCTCTACATCGATGCCCTCCACACCGTGCCTTGCGAGTGCGGCCGGGCACCCTCATTAAAAAATATTTCGTCCATGCGTGCAGTTGTTGTTGTCGCTTTGTTTGCGTTCGTCCATGAAAGGAATGAATGCCAGCACTGAATCATCGTCACCTGCTTCGACGGCTGCAGGATTGGGTAATGGGACCCGACCTAATTCCAGGGTAACTTACAGGCTACAAAAACAACTAGTTGAGCACGGCATAAATGTAAACAAACATAGCGTTAGGCACAAGGCAGGCAGTGTCGTTGCCAGCATCGCTACATTTAGCGAGTGCGTTTTCATTTCAATTAATGTTTAATGCTTTGTTCACTTCGTACCCACTTAATATTGTGTTTTTGTAAAAACAGCACATTGAAAATTAACAAAAACAGCAACTATGATTAAAATAGGATACTTCCGTGATAATCAAACAGCGCCAGTTGAGCCCCCTCACGCCAACTATTAACGACCTCGCCATTGCCGTGTGACACTGCCACAACTCTATTTTCGCTGAACTTCCTAGGGGAGATTTGCATTGACTGAGTTTAACGTAGTTTCGTTGTAGCCATGTGACAGGGGTATTAGTCATAACACAACACATCACTTGCTGCAGTGCACGACAGATAAATTATTATAGGCCCCTCATTATCGACCATTTTCAGTTTCGGTATGAGAGAGCCCCGAAAACGAGAAGCCGCCGGGTGCGACTGTTGCCACCTAGTGTGTGCGGTTCTCGACCATGTAAGCACACAGGACTGTGACACACTTCCAGACAGTCCGCATCAAAAATCATTTTCGAATAAGAAACGGGACTGCAGTGTCACCAAACGCAAAACTTTCTAAGCTTGCGCCAGGGCCACGCACTCGCAACCAGCCGCCGTGAAGAATAGACTGCACGTGGCGAAAAAAAAAAGGGGGACTATGACATCATTATAACTTTCCTTACTGCAGCGTGGGGACTTGAGGAAAGTTGGGAGTCCCCAAAGGGTCTCCTACGAGAGTGTGAATGGCACGATGGGTTCGAGCACTCATGCAAACTTAAAAATTATTTAAAACTACCTTCCAGGCTATATTAGCTGTTGATATTTTGCAGATGATATGAAAATGTTCAGGAGAATCGACCCCACAGGCTCTCTCGACCGCGAAATTTGGTGTCAGTACCCTTTAAGTAGTTTGATCAGCTTGTCTACGCATTTATTTTTTCAACACGGTGAGTTCAAAGAGCCTTCTTCAGATAAATTCTGGTGTCAATGTGAGTGGCGTTGTCAGTGAGCAAAAGACCGTACGGTGTAGAGGCAAATAGTAGAAGTCACAGGTGGGAGCCACAACTGAGTTATTCTGTGTGGCGGTCACAGGATCTGTCACAAAGCCATGCATGTGTTTGGCGGTGCTTGTGGAAGGGGAAAAAGCTCACTCATGCATCGCGTAGGGCGAAAACTCTCGTTACAAGAGTTGTAATGTTGCGTGGTGCATGCATGTGAATCGATGCAGGGGTCGCGGCTGTCTAGTTATATTTAGAGTTTAGGCTCAGTGGGAAAGAACAAACCTTGACCTTTTCTGACCACTCAGGCATTGCTGTTGCAGAAGCTCAACTTTCTTTTCTACAGCCTCCCCATTTGCTTCATCACTTCAGCCTTATAAGGAACCGAGTTGGTTCCAAAAGTAGAGAAAATCAACAATTTTTTTATTTCTTGTTATAACACAAAAGGCTATTTCGTCCAGATGTTTCGGTTGAGTATGCATCCATATTTTTGAACAAAGAGCCAATAAGAAATCAGGAATGTATGGTGGAGTGGCATGTTGGGCGCCAACTTTGTCACTTTTTGTTTGAAAAAAGCCAGAGTGTTGCCGCAAAAGCGAAGCAATGAACGCGATAGCAACAAATTAGGAGGTCATACGCAGAATGGCAAGCAGATCGAAACATGCCCCGCACTTCTCACGCACAAATAACGTACAAAACGTACCCACAGGTACCGATGAATGTGAATAAGTGTCTCAGTTGTTAATTCACTGTGTCTAAAAAGGGCATCCTTTTCGCAAACGGAGACTGTGCAAATATTGCAGTGAACTTGTGTGCCCGGTAACTACAACAGAATCGTTCTGGTGAAAGCCCAAGGTATACCATTGTGCCCACCGCGAGATAAGCAAGTGCACGTGTGAGCGTCCACCCTGCCCTCTCTCTACGAGGCAAAATATACGTGAGAGATAGGAGCGCGCGCCTCCGCGTTGTGATAATGTGGCGACATGTGCTCGTTGCGCCATCCTGCAGGTAATGCTGTAAACACCACAGTTCCACCCCAGATGCCCATCACTAGCGTTAAGTGGTAGACATAAGTAGCTTGCCATTTTACGTTGAAGGAGGTGCTCCTTTGTGGCTCAGTGGCTAATGTGTCGCACTCACAATTCAGAAATCTAATGTTCGATAATGTGTGCCGGACTGTTTTTCTGGATTATTTTTTTTCTTATGTTTCCATATATATAGATGTGTATACATGTATGGTGAATGACGCCGATGCCAACGTTGACGCCGGTGGCGAAATCCAGCCCAAAGTGTACATATAATTGCTTTCGCAATAAAATAGAGTTAGCAATTAGGCACTGTCAAAAATACATGAAACCTTGCAGGCTGGAAGAAATGCACGATAAATATGCCACATTTGGCTGCCTTGCAGACAATTTAGCCTTACTTAGCAGAAATTATAGTCACATGGTGTCTTCATAATTACTCAATGCCATCACCACCTCCTATGAGGGCAAGGTACCACAAGTGCTCTTTCGAGAAATTTCTCACTGTCATTGTCCTACATCAGCCAAGCACATCATTTCAATCATACATCTTGCATCTTCGCATGCTACATACTTGAACTTTCTTTGATAATAGTTTGAACAGTTTTATGAGGCCACAGTTAAGCTTCAGGACAGCTGAAAATTATTTCTGAACTCATATATCTGCGTTCCCATAGAATTGGGGTATGTATAGTTATACTAACAAAATTTAGGCGGCATGTAATAAAAAGATATGGGTGCACAAGTTATTGCTAACACCAAATTTGCATGGGCCCAATTCTCTCAGGTTGGCATTGTTGGCAGGACAGGCGCGGGCAAGTCTTCCCTGACGCTGGCTCTGTTCCGTATCATCGAGGCTGCTGGCGGCTGCATCAACATCGATGGCCTGGACATATCCACGCTCGGGTTGTACGACCTGCGTAGGAAGCTCACCATCATACCACAGGCGAGCACACCTGCTTAATAAAAGACGGAGCTTACCTGCCATGGTGGTGTAGTGACTATAGACCATTTCACTGTTTACAAACACAGGCCCTTGACGACATCCGGTTTTGGCCAACGATGTGCCTCAATAGCCTTGGTGGGCAAGAAGAGCGTTAGAAAATTGCCGGCTGATTTTTTACACTTTCCTTTCGTTATTTAGCGAAATATATTCAAATAAATGTTCTTTTGAGCTACATAAAAACTACAAGGAATTTCCTTGAACATTACGCATATTCTTTTTGTTTGAAAAAATAATAAGAGACTATTTTTTCCTTTGAGAAACATGAAAACGTCCTTTCAGTTTCGACATTACGAGGTAGTAAATGAGGTGACCAAAAGTTTATTTGGGGCACAATGCTTGCAATCTTGAAACCATCTATAGTGCTCAGCTTGTGACTTGCAGGTAGCAGTATAGAATTTTTACCACCTGCAGGATTTAATCCAGCACCACCACCGCAACCCAACTGTGCCGGCTGTATTTTCAATGAAGGCGAGAATGCTCGGAGGCTTGTGTATTTTAGGTGCATGCTAAAAAACACTAAGTGGTCGAAAATTTACTAAACACTCCACTACAACATCGTTCATATTCGTATTCTGGTTTCACGACTTTGAATTCCAACAGTTATTATTGTAAGACAGGGCCCGGTGCAGTCGCCGCTTGTCCATGCATGTTTGATTTGTCCCTGTTGGGGTCATAGCACCCTGCATCCTCGATTAGGCTCCTTAAAATAGCCCACGGGTCACTTTGTTTGCCGTTAAATTTGTTCGCATTATAAGTAATCTTGATGGGCTTTGAAGTTTTCGTCATCGCCAGTAGGATGAACTATCGCGCTCAGTGTGAGCTACGCCATGCCAGCGGGTGGCTTAGAGCGCACTGCAGTGTTTCACAGAGACGCTGATAGTGTCATATTTTCAAGTTGTCGGGAGAAAGTTTGGCTATCACTGTAAGAGCACAATACTACCACTCTCTTGTGTTAACCCTCGCTTCCCTTTATTTGAAGGAATCATTTGCCATTCGTCTAGCTTTACTGGCAAAAAATTGGCAGCCTAGACATCAAGCCATGGTTGTAGTTATCATTGTTGAATCTGATGCCACGACAGCGCTATAGAGAGGGCTGGCATTCAAGCAAGTGGAAGTGATGTGCGCTAGAAGAAACAGTGAAACATTTCTTTGCTAACTAAAAAGCGAGTAATGAACATGGCCGCTCTGTTATCTTGCAGTGCGATTGGCTACGCACTCCCGTGGCGTAGCTCATACATGCTCATCACAATATATTGTACATGCCTCTTAGCAGTAGTTTGCACGGATGTACAAAATACAAAAGGAAGTCTGCATTTTGAGTGCATTACATAATAGACAACAAATAGTGACAGTCTTTTTTATCCAAAACTTACCTGAAAATCTTCGACCAAAACTAAATATTTGTGGTGCAGCGACTAGCGCTAACCAGTGATTCTTTTGTGAGTGATGCCGTGGAAGTGGTTTCAGAGAGCTCTGTCTACTAAGCACTTCTTCCAAGTTCATTCATTAGGTGGCAAGACATTGAGCCACCGCAGCAGAAGTGTGGCAGGCGTGACGGCACGCCAAGTAGTTCCCCTAATCACATGTGATTAGACGTATGTTTAGCGGGTGTTTCGTTGGCACATAGTCACTCCATCTTACCGTGGATAGCGAGCCGGTTGGCTGTCTATACGTGTGCTTTAGTGCAAGCGACAAGCTGAGGATAGTCATTCAGTAGATAGGGCTATATTTAGTTGATAGGGAAGGCTGTGAAATCTCCAGCAATGGTAGTGTTACCCTCTGAAACACCGGAGCAGAGCGAGGCCAGGCTAGCCCCTCATAGAGAAGCTTGCAAAGCATTGAAGCGTGCCAACATCGAAGTCAATGCAGCCGCAATCATTGTGTAGCAACACGAAAACGAAGGGGAAGCCATACTTTAGTGAAACACTGTGCGCATAGTTTTTGCAAAACTAAGCCAAACATACCAGTTGCTCGTGTTGACTCGGTTTAGCGGGGTTGATTCTTATCAATTTTCAGTGTGCAGTATTCTACCTGAATATGCTCTTAAAAAACTCGCCAACATAATTTTTTTCAGGACCCAGTGCTGTTCAGTGGGACACTGCGCTCCAATCTAGACCCTTTCGATGCTAAGTGTGAAGAGGAACTGTGGCGGGCGCTGGAGCACTCGCACCTCAAAGACTACGTCGCCACCCTGTCAGAGGGGCTCCAGCATGAAATTGCGGAGGGTGGTGAAAACATCAGGTGGGTTTAGCCATTGTCTCACAACTTAACATTGTTCGCTTCAATAGAAAAATGTCGAGAGAAGTGAAGTTTCAGTGGGCTTCATCCCACTGTGATAGCTTTCATAAAGTGTTGTGGTGCTAAGTCAGAGAACGCTGGGTTGATTTCTTGCAATGAAGGCATTACATAGACAGTGACAAAATCTAAGAAAGAACAACATAATGTTTAGTTGTAGGCATACACATACTTGCAAAAAACTAAAAAGGTATAATCTGAAATGTTCGGTGACAGGTATATTTGTTCATGACCTTCATTTTCGCTGGATTGCAGTCAACTTACAGCTGTTGTAACCAAACATGAGGTAACGAATTAAACACTGTCGACCATGAAGTCGAAAAGCATTGTACTGTTGAAGTTAAAGCAAATGTGAATGCTGTGAAGTGGAATGAACGAGCCACACTTCTAAGTGCATGAGGCATCATTATCTTACTGTGATGTATCAGTGGTAAGCCAGGACAGACAAGATGAGTAATAAACACAAAGTGACGCCGTGGCCGTCCTACCGCACAGTCTTTTGATGACGCCATCAGTGTTGGCTGTGTCTTCAGGTAAGTTAAGAAATGTTTCCATCATCTTCCTTTTGGTCATCTTCCTAAGCAAAACTGGGTCCCTTATTAGTGTCTTTAGATATACATTCGAAAAAAAAGAAGCATCTGTCGCCTCACGTATCTGCTGTCCTACTGTGCAGTACGGTCCACTGTTAAAAGGAACACGCTAATACGTGGCAACTAATATCAATGGAGTCTCCCTCTTCTTTAATAAGCCGATATTTGATGGTCGCAAGGGAGAGATTTGCAACATGATGCAGCAAAGGGACACTGCATTAGACTTGAACATCTATTATCATATAAGGCCGGTTTCCACAAGCAGTGTGTGAATACGACTGACTTCTTGGTGAAAGATTGCAAAGTCTGTAGCCACAAATAGTCATAAATTTTTTGTGCTTGCTGGAAATCCAAGGAGCAGCACACAGAGTAACAATTAGATAAATTGTACCGCTAAGGAAAGACTACGGACCATCTCCACGAAGGGAACCCTGATGGGATGCGAAGCAGAAGCCGTGCACACGGCGTTCACTTGGTTGAAAAGGGCGTTGACACAGGTGCTGGAAGAATGTTTTGAAGCGAAACTCAATGTAGCATTTACTCGAGTAAATGTTTGCTTCAAACATAGACACGGGAGGCGGGACGCATTGAAGACGTTTGCGCTCGGCTTATTTCCTTGGCTCACGTTTCGTCAGTGTTACCCACTTGCGTCTGTATTCTTGAATGCGATCAGTGTTCTTGACTCTCACCTCGTCGGTGTCGCTGCTCTTCCACTGTCGATGCTTGTGTTTGTCTTCTGTGGCTAGACACTTGTCAGTGCTGACGTCGTCATTTGTGAACGCGATCAGCTTTGCTAATCCATGCAACGCCGGCGACAGCCGGGAAAGGTACGCGCACTCTAGCGGGAAGCTTGCCGCGACAGTGTCCCGCCCGTTGGTGTGATCGCACGGCAAGCAGTGGTGCGCTGGCCACATCGTTGGCACCACGACATTCTCGAGGTGAGCGCACCCACCGGCTCACGGCTTCTTCTCATGCCCACAGTTGGAGAGAGGTGGCGTGGGTGAGATGATACACACGTGAGGAGTGGGCTCGAGCGTTGCGAGTGGTGGAGAGGGTGAAGTGAGAGAGAGCTAACTCGCGCTAGCACGCACCAGGCGGGTGAGAGAGACATCACCACGCACTGCTTGGAGGGTGTGTCCTACATGGCACCGGGGATTCGCTCGCAGGATTTCAAGCTGGACGGTTGTGCCCTCGCGATCTCCGACTTCAGCGTAGCTCCCGCCGACTGGTTCGCCCTCCGCGGTCTCCTGACGCCGTGTAGCTCTCGCATTGTGGCACCCCGCCCTTGGACTGCTTCGACCGGATCCCCACTTTCCTATCTCCTTCTTTTTTCCTCTCGTTGGCTGTCTTCTTCTGCTTCTACTTTCCTTCTATTCTTTTATCCCTCCTTCCCCCCACCCCTATAAGGCACTGCGCCGTGTCGCCTGAAGGCAGACAGAAATTAGGTGCCTTTTTCCTCTTCATTCTAATCACTAATCACTACCACCACATGGCACCGCTCTAACACATGCGGAGAGGTGAGCGGTGCGGACAGAGGGACAGCATTACACAGGCGAGTCAAAGAGCTGGTTTGCCTCTAACATGACCCCACTTTCCAACGCTTTCATGCTCTTGAGTCGAGAACTGACGGAAATGAACGCATGCAACTTCGATAGCCACATTTACAAATCTCGCGGCCAGTTAATACCGCATGGTCGGCTGCCGGCGAACCACGCGCATAGTACTGTACATAGGTGTTCTGCAGTGCACCTGCTATTCCATCACGCCCTGCAATGCACTCATCCTTCAACAGTGTCTCGTTAGTGCGTATGACGTGTTGATCCTGTAACTCGTAGAGATGCATTGAAACAAGCTGTGTCAAGTGGGGAGTACCTTCCGCAATGCTTTTCAATTGTTGCTTTCAACGTTGCTTTTCAACGACTAATTTACTCGACCATGTTCCACAGTGTGGGCCAGCGACAGCTTGTGTGCCTGGCTCGTGCCTTGCTGCGAAAGTCTCGCATCTTAATCCTGGATGAGGCGACGGCTGCAGTGGACATGGAGACGGATGACCTCATACAGGCCACCATCCGGCGAGAGTTTGCCGACTGCACCATCATCACCATCGCCCACCGGCTCAACACTATTCTCGACTATGACAGGTAGGGCCTACGCAATGGAAACTTCTGACAATCATGTGCAAATTACAGATGTTATTCATTAAAGAACATGTGCTTTGTAATAGAAAGCATACCAATGTTACATATGTTTCAATTATTTACACAAAAAATATTGCGGAAACACAAGGAATTACGGTAATGGCAGCTGGAGAAATTTGGCAATGTGAATTATCTTTCGAAAGTTCGAGCTCGGATATTAAAGATCTTGCTTCCGAGAACGCAGGTATAAACACATTAAAGTCAATCTGTAACAAGATAGCAGTTCATTGATGAAGTGATCAAGCTCTGTGTATGCTCTATACTACCATTTTTTATAATAACCTAATCTGATGAACCGATTTTTGTGGAGACTTCATACGAAATTGCAAACCCCAGTCATTTGCAGACTGTCGCATATATATATTTAACGAGACAGTGATCTAAGGTGCTAACGAAACTAATTAATGTTTCATACTGACGTTTATGCTGAGCCAATATAACAACCAATTGTTGCCTACTTATCCTGGTGTATACAGTCCCACGTTGTTACCCATATCACAGTTGAACTTTATGCGCGAGTAGAATCACTCGCATTGCGAAAAGAACTGTGCTTGTTTTAATTGGCGCTCTTATTTTTTCTCCCAGCACTCGAAGAAGTAACTTGCATATCTCCGTTTCTGAGCTGTTAAAGCCTCCACAAAAGTGATTTAGGCGAGAGCTCCTGGAATATGGTCGTTCTGGCACTCAGGTGTAAAGTGAAAGCATAAAACAGATTGACAGAGCTAGAGTATTTACCAATAAGTGACCTCAATGTATTTGTACACATAATAAAAAACCAAGAAAGATCCCGAGTAAATTTAGGACTACTATAGATGCCGCAAAGCCTGGCTTGCTTATGCATGTTTAGGTCTGCGAGACTCTGAACAGGACTCCAGCAAATACCACCCCCTCTTGGCCTCGCATTTCTCATTTGTAGGGAGTCGTAAGCTATGCTACTGCAGTGAACAGCTTTCTAAATAAACAACCCGTGCATTATGCTTCTAGTATTGCAAACAGCAGTAGTTATGCAACTTGTGTTTGATGTCTCACTTGAACAATGCAGGGTGATTGTCCTGGACAGTGGTGAAATCGCAGAGAGTGACTCACCGCGGGAGCTGATGAAGCGGGAGAGCTCAATCTTCTACGCTATGGCTAAAGATGCCAACTTGGTGCAGGCGCCGCACCAGGACTGATTTCGAAGATCATTTCTTGTTTCTTCGAGAATCACCAACCAACTCTGCGAACGGCACATCCATGGCTTGAAAGCCTAGTTAGGTCGCTTGCCATAGTGCCTAAGAGGAGTGCAATTTAAAATGCACTCATTCATGCTCAGGGGCAGGGACAATTTAAGTGTCGACTATGTAGGTCACCTAATTTCACCACGAACGCTAAGTTTGCGTGTGGTCGTATAGACGATATATCATGAGATGATGTTTTATGTAGTGAATTCGAAGGAAGTTTTTCTTCGAATATTTGGCAATGTTTATTCGCTCATTCACGCGAAATGTGATGCTTGTATTTATTGAACTCACAAATGTATAACCGTAGTTTCTCATTTTTATACTTGCCACGTTTTTCCAGTAATCATTAATAATTAGTCTATCGACATGCCTCACTTTGAATGACTTCTACGAGTGGTTTACATGTGGTGATGCAACATTGGTGACAACCTGTGAAGTAAAGGTCAGCCTCGTAGCAGTTCTTCTATTGTGTACTGTAGACTTTGCAAATGGTGACATTCGTGGACCCGTGCAACATGACGCTGGTTTGTGTTGAATTGACACTGAAATTTCAGAACAAAGTAGAGTTACCGTGGGTGGGTTATGAATGTTTTGAAATCCTACGTGTTCCTATTTTATTAAGGTGTCGGTGAGAGTAGGACATGCAGTTGACATGGCAGAGCCATTACTTGTCTACTCATCTAGGTGCTGTACAGTCGGCCAAATCTTTACGTATTGTGCATTAGTGGTCATTTTTATGTGTATCGCTGCTATATGACTGAACCAAGTTCCAAAAAAGATGAGGACAAGCGTATGCCAGAAAAGCACATGTCCACGAAGCAATTTTTTGTAATTTTGTTCCATAAGGTAACGCTCAGACAGCCTGAGAGACAGAGAAGTGTCAACTGCTCACAAAAGATTTGGCCGACTGTATGTGCGTGCATGCATGTAACACAACAAATGTGGAAGGAATGGAAGAAAAGAAGTGTGATTTATTTAGAGTGAATATGTCACTGCTGAATCCTAAACCTCGTCGCTGGAAGTCAACAGTATTAAATTATTCAAAAAGATGGCTGTGGCTCAGCTCAATTATGCCTGGGTATGTGCAGTGAGAGGTATGGTTATTCTTATTCGACAGCTTGGTTCTGTGTACGGCTACGCGAGGCGTGCTGCTCATGTTTTCTTTGTCTTCTCCGCTTACTGTCTACTGGAAGTTTCGTTCCGACGATGAGGCCTAGCCTTTTTTCGTCTGTCCAACTTGCTTTCCTTATCGGCCGAGGAATCCTACCGAGCCCCTTCTATACATGCGATGCAGCACCAAATCCCGTGTTGCAACATGGTTTCACCGGCTCCTCAGACCTCATGCCAGATGGCGCTTTCATCTGCGACGGTCTCTAGGCAGCAGCTCAGCTTCGCAGTGCAGTCACCATCCACATATAAACGGCGAGAACACAACCAATGTAGCTCTCACTACAAAAAGTTTAGAAAGATTGGCTAGAGAACGTTTTACTTTTAGGTCAAGCTTGCTGCTGGTCCTACTGCGTACCTATCTCGCTGGACGAGCAGAACTACTTAGAGTTATGCTCATGACGGCCGGCACAAACGAGACATAAAAAAGAAAGTACACGACGCAGGCGCTGTCTATTAACTGATAGTTTATTACACAGCACATGTGTCCTGTACTTTATTGTGTTTAGTGTCACGTTCGTATGTGCTGCTGGTAATCATGAGTACATTCCAACTTGCCGAAGTTTGTACATTGCTTGGACTGAAAGATTTACCTTTTTTCACTTCGTGAGTGAAAGCTGAGTGGAATATACGAAAACGTTTATTCTATTCTTGTAACAGTTTTATTCTCTAAATTTTTTTATGTGCTTGTAAAGTTATGCCTGTCATATTATGCACTGTAGTGTTAACCTTGTTTGGAGTATCCCGCTGTTAAATTTAAGAATAAAGGAAAAGGAATAACTTGCTCTGATCACAGCCAATAATACTTTCCCTTTTTTATTGGAAAGGCTAGGTCTATTTTTTCTGGTGTGGGAGCAGCCCGCGTTGGGATATAGTTCGTGCCCGAATGCTCCTGGATAAGGTTTTTTTTCTTTGCAGCAGCTTTTGCGAAGTTAAAACTTCGCACATGCTGCTGCAATCATGCTTTGTTGGCTTGGAAGATCTGCGGCGGCTTGCCGAATCAGTACATGGATTCTCAAGCTTTTTGCTGACCTATAACAAGGTTGCTAGAGTCTGCATACTGTATGGCTGCATTCACTTTGCCTGACTGCTTAGGACAGTGTGATGCTTAGGGACAGCTTAAGGTATAGCGATGAATGCCTCAAGATGGCCGAGTCGCACAAGGAAGGCTTTAGTGTAGGCTAAGTCGTCAGAGGAATAACTACTGTTAGGTTTGCCTTGGGTGCTATTATTAGTCTGCACTGATAAGGATGGAGTGATGATGATGATGATGGACTATATATGGCTTTCACCCACTATGACACATTGTGCAAGACACGGATGATGTGATAACATAAGGTTTGCATGATTAATTAATTAAAGAGTAGTTTTAATGAATTAATGGTGCTAATTTATATTCTTGAGATCAAAACCCCCTGCCTCATTAAGGTTATCATATCTGGAGTAATCTGACGAGTATCATTACAGAGTGTGCAGTGGAAGTTGGAGGCAGGGTAGTAAGACAGGACACTGGCAAGCTTTCCCAGGAAACGAAGAACCTAATTAAGAAGCGTCAAATCATGAAAGTGTCAAGTACAACAGACAAAATAGAACTGGCAGAGCTTTCGAAGTTGATTAATAGACGTAAGGTATGCGATGTAAGAAGGTATAACATGGAGAGAATTGAACACGCTCTGAAAAACGGAGGAAGTGTCAAAGCATTGAAGAGGAAACTTGGAATAGGCAAAAGTCGGATGTATGCACTAAGGGACAAAGAAGGCAAAATAACTACCAATATGGATAGGATAGTTAAAATAGCGGAGGAGTTTTACAGAGATCTGTACAGTACCCGAGACAACCACGACCTTAATACTATAAGAACTAGCAGTAACCCAGATTACACCCCACCAGTAATGATAGAAGAAGTCAGAAAAGCTTTGGAGAGCATGCAAAGAGGCAAAGCTGCTGGTGAGGATCAGGTAACATCGGATCTGCTGAAAGATGGAGGACAGATTGTGTTAGCAAAACTAGCCACCCTGTTTACGAGGTGTCTCCTGACGGGAAGAGTACCAGAGTTTTGGAAGAACGCTAATATAATCCTAATACATAAGAAAGGAGATGACAAGAACTTGAAGAATTACAGGCCGATCAGCTTGCTCTCTGTAGTATACAAGCTATTTACAAAGGTAATTGCTAACAGAGTGAAGAAAACATTAGAATTCAATCAACCAAAGGAACAAGCAGGATTTCGAACAGGCTACTCAACAATTTACCACATTCATACTATCAATCAGGTAATAGAGAAATGCTCAGAGTATAACCAACCACTATACATAGCCTTCATAGATTACGAGAAGGCGTTTGATTCAGTAGAAATATCAGCCGTCATGCAAACATTGCGGAATCAGGGCGTAGATGAAGTATATATAAACATTCTGGAAGAAATCTACAGGGGATCAACTGCTACCATAGTGCTTCATAAAGAAAGCAACAGAATACCAATCAAGAAGGGTGTAAGGCAGGGGGACACAATTTCCCCCAATGCTATTTACCGCGTGCTTACAGGAGGTTTTCAGAAGCCTAGAATGGGAACAGTTAGGGATAAGAGTCAATGGAGAATACCTTAGTAACCTGCGCTTCGCCGATGACATTGCGTTGCTGAGTAACTCAGGGGCCGAATTGCAACTCATGATTACGGAGTTAGACAAGGAGAGCAGAAAGGTGGGTCTTCAAATTAATCTGCAGAAAACGAAAGTAATGTACAACAACCTCGGCAAGGAGCAGCGCTTCGAGATAGGTAATAGTGCACTTGAAGTTGTAAAAGACTTTGTCTACTTAGGGCAGGTAATAACCGCAGAGCCGAACCACGAGATTGAAGTAACTAGAAGAATAAGAATGGGGTGGAGCACATTCGGCAAGCACTCTCAAATTATGACAGGTAGATTGCCACTATCCCTCAAGAAGAAGGTATATAACAGCTGTATCTTGCCGGTACTTAGCTACGGAGCAGAAACCTGGAGACTTACAAAGAGGGTTCAGCTTAAATTGAGGACGACGCAGCGAACAATGGAAAGAAAAATGGTAGGTGTAACCTTAAGAGACAAAAAGAGAGCAGAGTGGATTAGGGAACAAACGGGGGTTAAGGATATCATAGCTGAAATCAAGAAGAAATGGACATGGGCAGGGCATGTAGCGCGTAGACAGGATAACCGCTGGTCATTAAGGGTAACTGACTGGATTCCCAGAGAAGGAAAGCGGGTTAGGGGGCGACAGAAGATTAGGTGGGCAGATGAGATTAAGAAGTTTGCGGGTATAAATTGGCAGCAGCAAGCACAGGACCGGGTTAACTGGCGGAGCATGGGAGAGGCCTTTGTCCTGCAGTGGACGTAGTCAGGCTGATGATGATGATGATGACCTGGAATAACAAAATCCAATCTAGTCGACCTGTCCACCTCTTCCTTCATGTATCATTTCTCTAGGCGTTGTTTTATGTTTTCTACTTGAAGCTTCCGTGTTCGAGCAAAGTTGCGATGAGCGTCTACGCGGTGTTTTGCCGTGGCAGCTGGAAGGAAGAGCACGCGGGGACGGCCATGCCGCGTGCTTCAAAACCGGCGTGGCAGGTCCAGTTCCCCATAGAATTCCCGAACCACCACTGCGGCGCCACCGGGGGGGGGGGGGGGGGACAGTTCTCACAAGCGCCCATGCAATTGCATGCGTGGTGCGCTTGCGGTATAGTTACGATTGAGCGCGTGCATCTTTGTGTTACCTGCGAAATGATCTTTTGAGATCCGTCTGGTGTGTGCCCACCAGGTAATTACCGACCTTGCTTTTAGATACCTGCAGCCCTTGCAAATTTTTGGTATTGTCTTGCCCGAGATGGAACCTTGCACACCGATCAGTTTTCGAGGAAGTAAGAATTGTGAGCACAATTTACTCGGATCCTACTAGATCACAACTAACAGATCTCGAAACGCTACACCTTTCTAATGCATCTGAATTGATTATAGTAACCTATGCAACCGCAGTTGCCACTGTTCCTTCAACACAAAATAAAATAGACTTTTTACTTCCTCCAAAAACCTTTATAGTATTCATACCATACAGTATCAGATGCAACAGCCACGAAATATACTTAGCATGTGTACGATCTGAAAACAGTAGACTCGAGCGTCTTTGAAGTTTCAGTGACTGTAACTTCAATGCTGGCAATTGAGAGAACAGTTATGAAGTGAATAAAATAAATACAGGGAGACGGAAAAGAGCAATGAAATAATGAAAAATGCGAACAAAAGGGCTTGCGTTCTTGCACTTTTGAATGTTTTTGTCGCTTTCCGTTCCGGCGTTCTTATGATATTGTTACTAATTCAACAGTGACCACATAATCGGAACAAATTGCATGAAAATATTTTATTCTCAATTTAGGGCCAATCCTGGCATTTTTAAATTTTTTTTACTTCTTTACACCTTTGCATAATAAAACAACTTTACAATTGCTCCAGATTGTGTGCTCAACGTTTGGCCACTGCGTCTGTCGACAATAAAACCACCCATTTGGTCTTTTCATGTTAGCCTCTCCACGGGCACTGGCAAATCACGATAACACTCCAACGCAGTTGTTTTGTAGCAGTCTCCGTCAATGATTTTTGTCATTTATTACTGTGTATTTGTTCTACCATCGTCGACAAATTGGCACCTGTGCTCGCTCAACCAAAGGCACGTGTACTCGACTGCCCTACAGTAGCCATGGTTTTGCATTGTGTAAACATAATAAAAACGTGGTTGTCATTGGCCCCAGGCATATATATATATATATATATATATATATATATATATATATATATATATATATATATATATATATATATATATATATTGTCTTGCCTAGTAAGAAGTATCAAGACAT